GGCGTAGCCATTGTGGGAGGAAGCCGAAATGGTAAGATTCGAAATATAGTCTCACAAGCCGTGTGAAGATAGGGATTAGATAACGCGAGCAGAAAGTCGATGAACTTCCGAGGCAAGCAGCCTAGGAAGAGATTAGGTGCTGCTGGGGAGCGGGAAGAATCAAGAGGACAATACAACTCCGTGAGTGAAAAGCGAAGAGAAGACAGCAACAGGGAGAGAAATGGAATTGAAGAAGGAAGTTGGTCGCTGTGCAGGTTCATCGGCGCTTCCAGCGCCAGGGCAGGCGCTTACTCAGCATCACATGATCGGTATCTATCTACATTTTTCCAAGGTTGGCGACAACGAGCTAACGCTACAATTTTCAACCATCAAAAAAGGTCTCTTTAACTGAAGCCATACAAGAAGGCTGTGTCTTTGTATTTTGTGCCTTTCTTAGATAATTGAACGTGCCCCAGAGCTTCTCGGCTAGAGGATTGGCGCCATTACCTCAGTTGTCTGCAAAAAATCGAGTGAGCTTGCTATCAAGCCATTTAACATCCTCCATGTTATCGCCTGGACCTCCTGCCCAATCTATCCACCGGGTTAGCTTTGTACTTATTTAGAATTTGTGCTGCTATACTCACGACCCCAGATGGAAGGGAAGATATCCAGTGTTCCAATCCCTGGCTTCATACAAGCAACTTCATACTCTGAGTCTTCAGGCCTAATGCGATGTGATTCTCAGTTCAGTCTCACTTTGATCAAGCGGAAGGATGGACAAAATCAACTTACGGGAAGTAAAGGTCGGTTTTTGACGGCAAAACCAACGCTTTTGCTTTGATGGATGCCATCGCCTTTTCAAAGTCCCCATTATATGGTTCTTGCTGCGAGACGTCACCATTTTGCCAGGTCTGTATCAAGACCAGCAGATTTTCGGGTTCTTGAACGCACTTGTCAGTTCCCTGATACAACCACTTCATTGGGATCAAACAAAACCTTTAGAACAAGCCCATTTCTCCCAGAAGTTGACCATGAAGTCTTCAAGTCCCTGGAAACCCAGCACAGTTTCGTACAACTTGTGTCGATAGAAAGCCTGACTGAATCCCCTGTTTCTGATGGGTCAGACGAGGGATAAAAATTAAAGTCAACCCAGAATTTCTTACCATCCAGCATACACACGGCCCAATGCCTTGAGACCAACATCCTTCTCTTCAGCTGTCCAAGCATGCGCTTCTGCCGTTTCTCTATTAAGGCTAATCTCTCCCGATCCCGCAGATCGGCTCTTCTTCACCGCAATCAAGGAGCTTTTGACACCCTCAAGGAAGACCTGGTTGTGAAGCGAGGTTTTCGCAGCCGTACAAAAGGGGACCACAAGATCCATGAAGTCAGGATACTGCGTTGCCCACTGGAAAGTCTGGGCCCCTCCCATAGACCAGCCAACAACGGCGCGCAAATGCGTGATGCCCATGTGCTTGGTAACGAGCTCATGCTGCGCCCGCACATTGTCGTAAAATGACACCTTTGGGAATGGCCCGGGGCTTGGCTGGTTGGATGGAGAAGAGGACTGGCCGTTTCCGAACAGGGCTGGGACTATAATGAAGAAATTGTTCGGGTTCAGGAGCTTGTCGTCTCCGATCAACCAGAAGTTGTCGGACAGAGCTAGACGCAGTATTAGACCAGTATTGGAGAGGATTTGGGATCGTATCTAGATATACCTCCGGAAAACCAGGTTGGATAAACGATTGCTGGAGACTTGGGATCGCCGAATGTCTTGTATGCGATATGAGCATCCTTGATCTTCTCGCCGCTCTGGAGCTCCCAGTCTCCAAGCTTGAAAGTATCGTATTGCTCCTGCGACATAATCGCACTTCTTTTTTTGAATTTCAGATAGAAATAAGATGAAGAGGTTTGTACTTTTGATGAATGGGCATCCTCCGATTTATAGTTCTACAGTTGGAGATACTTTATCAACCCCGCTCTGCCCTCCGCACGAGACACGGTTTGAGCCGGACATGCTTATCCTCCGTCAATTTGATACATACAAGTACCTATAGGCGCGAAACATATTATCGAGCGCCTGAAGCTTCAAGTGAGATATCTAGTAAGCGTGTCGCATCCATGTATGGATAGATTCAAGCTAAAATTTAGCCAGGCACTTTCCGAGCCAGGCAAGAAATGGGCCCGGCCCCGGCCGTGCTTACAAACTTTCAGCCCGGGATCCCAGCGCGGTGCACATCCTTGTCTATATGTAGGAAATTCACACGTATATTGATTAGGTACCTAGATATCTATGTACATAGGTGTTGCGTAGACTTACCATTGCTTTGCATATGCATCAAAGTTATACAAGCTGATTTGCTTCCGGCTGTATGCTCTACGAATCTATATACTCGTATCCAACCCCAAACATTATATGACAAAGCTCCTTGAGTCCAAAACAGAGCTCTAGAATTGCGGTCTAGGGATCTCCATGGCTTCCGTTGTTCGACCATACGAGATACCACCTAGGCGACTGATAGGCTTGAGAACCTTCAAATCGACGACATTCCTTTCCTCATTGATAGCATCATCCCTAACCCAGAAACGAACGCCCTCAATAATAGCAAGCACACCCGTTTTCTTACCCGCGGTGACCCGACTCTCAAACTCCTTCAACTCAACAAGCTTGCCTTCGATAGAAAGAATGGACTCCTTGACACGGGCAGGCTTCACAACAGAGGTAGGTGCTTGATGCAGGCCGGAAGTCTCCCACTCGGAAACGCCGTACGGGGCATTGATGGCAGTAGAATTGGCTGCTTCAATGAAATGCTCCGAGATAATGTTGATAACACACTCGCCAGTCTCGTTCAGGTTCTTCAGTGAATCCTTGGCTCTCTCCATCGATCCAGAAAAGCCAACTGTGAACAGCGGCGGGTCGTGGTTGATGACCTGTGCGTAGCTGAACGGAGCGAGGTTTGTAGTCTTGCCATCTGCAGACTGGGTACTGACGAGTGCGATCGGTCGTGGGACCATTCCTGAAATCAGGAACTTATAGTTCGAGGCCACAGGCCGGCCCTCTTCATGGGGGTCGATCTCGACGTGGTCTTTCTTCAGGCTCTCGCCACTGTCGTTCGCACCATCGCCTTCCTTCCATGTGGGGTTTGGGGACTTGGTATATGTGACCTCGGCGTCCCGGCGAAAGTCTGGGCGCGAGGCTTGGGTTTTCTCGAAATCCGGGCGGACATTCAACATTGTGCAGGTGTGACTAAAGAGTCGGGTGGGGTGACTGGGTCGGAATAGTGCGCGCGTTGTCGCGAGACGACCAGGACTTGAGATTTATAATCAGCTATGCTGTTCAGTGTGCATGTAGGCTGCCCCGCGTAGTGGTGACGAGAAGGGTCACCTCCGTCATGCTTGCTAGAAAGTGCCTAGGTGAGGACAGTGAAATACTTACTAAGATTGCAATAAGGAGAGCCTCCGAGTATTTCGGGAGGCAGATTGAAGTAGAAACATGGGGGAAATGGAGACAGCTCTTTGATTTCATGAAATTCTTATCGCATTTACTATCTCCGACACAAGCTTCGGTTGCAACTTTAATGCCACGACTGGATATGCTGATAATTTGTATTGCCACGCGCTAGTTACCGCACTGACTCATATAAACTGCGTGGATATACCTCCTCTACCGACTATCGGGCCGACTCCGGGGATCTCTCCGGGGAACAACTTTATGCCCTGGACCTCGGGAGAACTCAACGTCATGATGCTTTTCACCCGTATGTACTAGTGCAATTATCGCGAAGTTGGGTATTGTCTAGAGCTTTAGACATATACCAGGTAGACCCCAAGGTTAGTCACCTCTTTAGGGACATGAAAGAACCAAAACTATAGAGTAAAGTACGTAGTTCTATTTGCATTCTCTATTCCTAGAAACCCGAAATGAGACTCACTCGAGAATCACAGACAAAAGAGACGCCTAGAAGGGTTTAGACCAGATCAAAAGAAGTAAAAGAAATCATAAATGGCCGGCTAAAAAGAACCTTTTCGAAGCCTTCACCTGACCTTCTGGAAATTGCCCATGTGGACCCTTTCAGTAAATACTCCGTACCTACTCCGTACATATGTTGTATATGTATTGTATTCTACAATCCCTCGGGGAGGGATTTCCCTGTTTGGAAAAATCCCTAAGCCCTGAGGAATAAGCTTAAATGCACTAGCAGCTTGAATCACCTGTTTTAAGTGCCAAGAGAATACAAATGTATACAAATGTACCCTTGCTCCGAAAAATCGAAATTCCCAATTTGATATACCCTGAAAACGTGGAGTGAAATACAGCCAAACCCACTCTCCCCATAAAAGCTCCATATCCGAAGTCTGGACTCTACATACTCGGAGTTGGTGCGATGAATTTCAGGTTATTGATTCTATTCTAAGTTATTTTTAATCCATTAAAGACCATTGTTTTTTATTTTTGTCTTCTACTTATTCTACATATGTATCTCTACTTCAAACAGTAAAGTGATTACAGTATATGACATATTATATGATATATGTTGTAGTATAAATCACAAGGATCGCCCCAGACATCCCATGACCGATTGTCCCGAACGGGGATGGCGTCTGTTTCCGGCGTAGCGGTCAAGGGGAAAACCGACGATGTTTTCGATCAGAACATTACCTTACAACAAATACATCGTGAGATTTCCAAAAGGGTTTTGGAAATGTAAAATGTGCCCTTGGAGTGGCGTAGTACAAGCGAGGGCAATCACGCGGGCTTAACTCCCCTCTTCCCCAACTTTTTCTCCCTTGAACACTTCACACTTCTTGATCCCTTATTGGCCTTGAAATATTGGCCCTATTGGCCCCCGTTTATTGCCCTTTCCTAATGAAGTTTTCGCTATCGCATACCTTCCCTATTTTCTTTCGATCCTCCTCCCTGCACCTTAGAATCCAAACTCCCCGCCGAGAACCAACCAACTCACTGAAGCTGGGAGTGTACAGGTACCCAATGGGTCGAGGTCACGGATAATTATTGGCTCGCGATGAGCCCTCCTTCTCCCAACAAGAAGAACGGCGGCAATCCTTCTGCTCCCAGACAAATTCGCTTTGTCGCAACCGACGGGCAGCCGCAAACCAAGCGCCGCCGCGTTAATGCCGCGTATGTGGACCCCATTGAGTATGATCTTGTTGGTCACGACGCTGACGTCACTTTCGTTTTGGTTTAGTTGTTTAACATGTCGCCGGCGCAAGATTCGATGTTCCGGTGAACAGCCAGGTAGGATGCACAGTGTGTCTCGACCGCGGGTATCTTGCTGACAGGGTATACGAGGGAAGTGTGCAAGACTTGCTCCGACTACAAGCATGTCTGCCTCGGATACACCGAATCGACCGCACACCTGCGAACGCAGTCCGACACCGCATCTCGAGCGCCACCGCGTCTTTCCGCTCCGAATGAATTGACAAGCCAGCGCACTTCCCGCGCAGTCGAAAGTAGCTCCCCCGAACCGGCGCCAACAGCGATAACCAAGGCCCCCGCGGATAAGGCCACCAAGACGAAAGCCCCCGGATCAAATGAACTATCTTCTTCTGGGGATGCTTCCTCACTCGCGACCAAGGAATTGGATGCCCAAGCTGTTGGGGACAGCCCAGCGAGTGGTCGTACCTCTGTGAGCTCAGGGAGTCGCACGCATGTCCCATATTTTCGATACTTCGGCCCTACCGCGATTGTACCGGGGTTTAAACAAATGGTTGTGCAAGTCCGTGGTTCTCGCAAGAGTAACCCGTCCACGTCCTCGGACTCTCCCTCTCCTCTTCGGAGCCCCAAACCGTCCGAAATTCCCATAAGACCCCTCACCACTGCCACGGATAATCGGGACAGCCGCGATGCAAATATCCCGTTTTATGACCGAGATGATACGCTTCCAGTTTCGAATCTTGTATCTCATTTGTGCGAGCTCTTCTTTGCCCACCTGGGCTGCAGCTTTCCTTTCCTACAACGAGAGAGATTTCTCCAGGATCTCAAGGAGAAAAAGGTCGACACCATGTTGGTAGACGCAGTGTGTTCGTTAGCTGCGAGATTCTCAATACACCCATCACTTGGTCCTGCACAGGCTCCTCCTATCGATCGCTCGCAGCCGCCACTCGACGACAAAAAGTGGGATCGTGGTTTGCCATTTGCTCATCGTGCGATGAGCGCTCTCGTCGATTCACTGCCATGCCCAACTCTTTCTGCCGTCCAAGCCTGCTTATTGCTCGCCTATGAACAATTTGGATCAAATCATGACAGTGGACTGTGGATGTACCTTGGAATATCAATTCGCATGGCACAGGATCTTGGACTGCAGAAGTTCCAAGGTCTCAAATATAATTATGGCAAGAGCGGCGTCACACCGAGCGAAGTGATGACAGGTCATGCTGGGAAGCTAAGAGAGGAACAATATGATGATCTTGATGTGCATCTGACACCCAAGACCACTCCGCAGCCTTTGGTTGACGAACGTGCCCGGGAGCGCGAACGGGTAGACTCATTCTGGAGCATCTTTTTCCTAGACCGAGTCATCTCCTCGGGTACCGGGAGACCAGTGACACTACGAGATGAGGATATTGAACTCTGCTTCCCTCTTCAGTCTGAATCCCAGCTACCAAATGGGTGGCCCGCGCCTTTCCCACCGCTTATTCGGATCATCCATCTGTACGGCCGGGTGACAGACCTCATTAACGGCATTCAGGATGTCAAGCTTGTCACACCGGACACGTTGAAGATGCTAGCTGGGATGGAAAGTGATCTCACCGGCATCTATCAACGCTTGTCCCCCAGACTTCATTTCAACGCAGCTAATTTTCAAGCCTACGTCAAAGCCAAGGAGGGAACCAATTTCATTCTTCTCCATTTCTGGTTCCATACTCTCATTGTTCTTCTTCATCAACCGACCTTGTTAAATTCGTTTGGTGGATCAATCCAACATCTCTATCCGAATAGTCGTGAGCTATCGATGTCATCTGCCAAAACTATTGCCGATATCTTATCCTTCTCGGAGCTTGTCGATGGGAAAAGCTTCATTGGCAATCCTTTCACGAGTCAGCCGATGTATATTGCGGCGTGCGCGTTCCTCATGGAAAGTGCTTACTATGCGTCTTCATCCTCGGGGGCTGGGTCACACCAGCCTCGGCCATTGTTGGCGAATCAATCCAGTGGGTTCGTGATGCCCATTATGGAGTCCCCAAATGGGACAGAACGGAAGTCTACGGCGAAGCATATCCTGCTTGCTTCTGCCGCCAAGGAGAATTACCAGCGGTGTTATAAGGCTTTGAAAGCACTCAATACGTATTGGGAAGGCACTGGGTATATTTTGACAGTGCTGGATCAGAAGGCCAAGGGGATTGTTGATCCCCTCCTTTACGCCGTGGAGGATATGGAAAATACCGAAGGTATCGCCCCAGGGCAACCTCTTGGGCCAGGAGCTTGGCGTGCGGGCAAAGCACCGGCAGACTCTGGCTTTGACCCAGAAAGACCTGCCGGGGTCGCGGATATCTCATCTGACGGGAAATGGTCACCACACATTGATCCAAGTCAAGGTTTGTTGGATCCGTTAATATCTATGACAAACATACCGCTAATTGCTTATGCCTCGACAGCTATCGGATGGGCACTTACAGGAGCAACGAATTCTTCACAGCCCAACTTGAGTTTACTTTATCAGATGTCCACGACCGAGGCGGAGTCTACGTCCAATAGACCGACATACTCGTCGCAGTACAGCCACAGCTACCCAGTCATACCAACAAATGCTGGTGAAGGACCAAGTTCTACATACTCGCAATCTATTGCACCAGCCAGGGCTCACGAAGAAATGACACGCTCACTCACGACAGCAAATGCTAAATACCCCAGTGCTCAATCCAGAACAATTACCACCGACCCCTCTTATTACATGAGCATGGATTCAGCATATCCCGGATCAAACACGCGAGCAACGCGCCCCGTACAGACAGCACATTCTACTTTCCCGGAGATGCTATCATCTGAGCTACCAACTTCACATATGGATACCCAACCCTCCGCCTATAATTACTCGATACCTCAACCGACAGCCGAACAACAAGCCAGAAACCAAATGGGGTCTCGTGATCCAGGTGCCGATCTCCAATCGACCCTGGATGACGCGAACGGGATGATGATCGGGAGTCACGAGGTCGATATGAACTCCATCCACCATCAAGACTCTTTCCCGTTCGCCAACGGCGAGATCATTCCGTGGCTGGAATACCTCCCTCAGGATGTCCTTAGTTTCTTCGGCGACCACCAAAATTATCCGCTCATGAGCCCTGATGATGTGTCACGGCCTCCATAATGTTTGATGTTCCTTACTTCTTATAGTACATATTTATATTTTTTTGGGGCGGTTTGCATTTGCCTGTGTTCTAGCGACTGGGTTCTGCTTTTGTTTATATATTTCATACCGAGGTGTTCTTTTCTGGCGTCGGGGTGGATGATATCCTTGGCCAGCACTTAGACCGCCTTGTTTTTCTGTGTATTCAAACCGGCACGTTTGACTTGGGGTTTAAGTGCGGTCATTCTCAATAGACACAAAACAATACATGTATTTTTCTTGCAGCATTGATTCCTCGAGGCCCCACCGGAATGTCACGTTCAATACCTACGATGTACTCGAGTCCACCCTGTGGCTTGATGATCGACAATGTCAGTCGGTTGCCCGGAACAACGGGGCGGTGAGCGACTTTTTGTCAACACACGTTGAGTGTCTTAGATTCCACGTTGAACACAAAGGGACAAGGTATGTGGAATCTCATTTTATCAAGTCCCTAGATCTTCGTATTCCTACAGGAAACAACTTGAAAGTCTCAGAACGCACTCTCTTGCCAACCATTGCATGAGAATCTCATGGCGCGGTTAAATGACGACAGTCAACAAGACGTCGATTGCACAGAGATCCTAAGTCCACAACCATTTGCCCCTCCAGGCCAAGGCTTCCTCGTATCCTCCCTCGAGTCCAGCAACGGGCCCTACCCTGCCGATAATGCCCAGATGTCCTCCACCCAGGAATATGAATACAACTCTTCCTCCTCCTCCACCCGCCATTCAACAAGCGACGTATTCGGCCGTGAAATGGACGATGAACTAGAGCAACTGAAGTCCAGAGCATCGAGCCGCTCATCACTATCCTCAGTCCCAGCCTCCGTCCTCATCCACCCAGTCGACAGAATGAAACAAATGCCAGACATGGACATACACGAAAAGATATCTGGCTACAGAGTAGAAGAGTCCGAAGCGAGCTTCGGCGACTTCAACGACATCCCCGCCAACATCCGCACCATCCGCCAGCGCGAAGCCGCCTTCCGAAAACCGAGTTCCGTCAGGGCCATGCAGATGCACACAGAAGACGAAGCTGACGACGACGAGTATCTAACGCCCCCGCGCCGACGACAAGGCCTACGATCACGATCACCTGGCCCCTCGCCGCTAAGACGATCACCGTATTACTCGCCCAATGCACCCAAACAACCAAAGCCTAGGAAGGAGGCTCCGCTCGTGCTGCTGCACTGCACCCTGCTCCCGCCGTCCATCCCAGTACCTGGAGCAGCGGACCCCAGAAACCAGGATATCCTGGAAGACGAGCTACCGGCAGAATACTGGAAGCGCTGGCGGCGGCTGCAAGACCGGGTTGGATCGGGCGTGCTGCGCGATCGCGGCGTGCTAATCTCTCACCCGGAGGATCTGTACGACATTCTAGAGGAGCGGTTGTTGGAGAGCCTCGAGCTGCAAAGACCACGTCTGCAGAATGGACACTTCGTGGGTCGGGAGGATCATAGCTCTGGCTCTGGCTCCGAGGGGGACTTCTCGGATATTGGAGAGAGCGAGACGGATGGCGAGCAGGGCGATGAGTGTCCCGATTGTGGGAGCCATGTGCGGCACGGAGATAGTAACCGCAAATGGGAGATTCGGGTGTTTGCTGCGAACGGGCTGATGCGCGCTGGGGCGTGGGCTGCTGCATGGCGCGATATGGAGAAGGTCGATGTCGAGGTTGGGCTTTGGCTGCCTTCCGATGTGCGCCGTAGCTTGGAGAGGAGGCTTGCGGAGGAGCAGATGGCAGTTGTTGAGCATGCCCAGAGTCAGATGCCGCAGATGCAGATGCAGATGCAGATGCAGATGTCGCCGCTGATTGATGGTGGGCATCAGGTCCCACCGGAGATTCTGCAGTCGCCTAGGCAGAGCCACGCTCGTATGATCAGTGATGTGGGTTCTTCCCGGTCTGATGAGATGACGTCCAGGCAGGGTTTCCCTGAAGCTGGAGCTCGGCTCAACCTTGCGCCTGAGCTTGGACGGGAGAGGAAGGAACATGAGGTTGCCCTTTCAACTCTTTTCGTGAATTATATCCGTGTTCTGGCCTCCGATAGGCGCAATATTGCCCTGCTTCTTCTTAGTGTCTTGGTGGCTTTTCTTGCTATTGGGTCACGCCAGCAGCAAGTCCCCGTCTACTCCCATCTCGGTCCTTTCCCACATGGCTTGTCTCATGATATCCTGCCCTCCGCGGCTATACCGAGTTTGAGCGAGGCTCCACCTGTGTCTCCTTCTGTCTCCCTTGCGAGCTCGGCCAGTGTGAGTGATGCAGTAGTCATGAGCTCAGTTGCCTCTGTGCCGGATTCTGAGTTTGTGGCTGCTAGCGAGAGCGACGTGAGTTCAATGTCTGAGATAGTAAGGTCTACTTCTCTGACTGTTGACTCTCCTGCTTCTCATGCTCAGGCTACACACTCTATGGAACCTACAGGGACTCCAGCGTCGCCCCAGCTGCTGGAGAATACGCAGCCTCAGCTTGAGGACAGCGTGGAGACTTCTTTTCATCACACTGTGGACTCTCCTATTGTGTCCCCAGAGTCCTCACTTTCTTCCACTGACTCTACCGAGACTTCTGTTCTGCCGGCCGTGTCTATTGAGACTACGCAGCCTGAGCTTGAGGACAACGCACAGGACCTTGGGGATAGAACTGTGGACTCCTCTGCTGTGTCTGCAGAACCATCTGCTTTCTCAACTGACTCCGACGAATCCCCTATTCTGCCTGACATGTCTCCAGACAACGAGCAACCCCAGCTTGAGAGCGAAGCAGAGTCATTTCCAGATGAATCTGTTGAACCTCCCACTATGACTACAGAGCCTCCTTCCTCCACTGACTCTATCGAGTCTCCCGCCCTGTTGGATGTGCCTACGGAGACTGCACAGCCTGAAACTGAAGGCAAAAGAGATGAACAATATGAAGAAGACGAACAAACAGATTGATCTTGGGAAGGTACCTAGGTACCCCTACTTCCCTAACCTTACGACCACGACTGGAACGATATCAGGCGAAATGTTTGGGTTTTTTTACGATTTTTTACAATGTTACTATGTTCCTCACCATTTTGGCGACTTTTGCTGATTTAGCCATAGCCCTTCATTAGTTGATTTTTAACTGTTTATATTAGCGAGCTTCATCTGGTCTTTCAACTTCCATCACCTGGATGTACAATGCCACGTGCACTGACATGAAACAATGCCAAGCCCCTACCTAGGTAGACTTTTATATCTCCACTTTGCCCCCACCTGGGCAGGTCCGCTCGCTTATGTAGTGATCGTCCAATTAGATATTGGACATCAAATATTGGATACTAGATTTGTTAAATCTGTTATATTATGCACAGCACTCAAAGTGGAGAGTAACCAAAGATACAAGCCAGTCTTTACACGTAGCCTAAGGTCTGTGCCCAAGACAATGCGGGGAAACCCAAATCACATTGAACCCTGTACGTTGTTACATCTCGCACAAAGCAGATCAAAAGAAAACAGAAGTGATGGAAGGCTCGATATTATTGATTATCGATTAAAGGTTAGTTGAACGAGTTCGATTTTGTATTGGGCAGGATCAAGTGTCACCCAGCGAATTTATCCGTCAACCCAGCATAAGTCACAACCTTCGTAAAAAAGTGCTAATCACGTCCAGACCTTCATAAGCTTCGTGACAGGAACATCTAGTAATTGCCGCCGTAACCGCCCTGACCACCTTGGCCACCTTGACCACCGTACTGACCACCACCGTAGCCGCCCTGACTGTAGCCGCCCTGGCCACCGCCGTAGCCACCACCGTAGCCTCCGTTGCCTCCGTTGCCGCCACGGAAACCACCGCCGCCGAAGCCGCCGCGACCACCACCACCGGCAGCGCGCTCAGTAGCCTTGTCAACGCGGATCTGGCGACCGTCAAACCTGGAAAAGAGATGGTTGTTAGCGTATGTTTTCAACGGGGTGAAAGAGACTGTTTATGTCGCGCTGTAACAGATGACACGCGTGATGCGCGACTCGTTCCAGCACTACTTTACCCGTCGCTTCAAGTGCAGGAAATATGATGGATCAGCTTACTCTTGGTTGTTCATGGCGTTCATAGCAGCAGTAGCCTCATCGTCGGTGGAGAAGCGGACGAAACCGAAACCGCGGCTGCGGCCGGTATCACGGTCCTTGACGACGGTCTAGAGAGAGAAATGGGAGTCTTAGAGGGATGCGATCAGTTATAGGAGTCACAGCGACTCACAGCATCCTCGACAACGCCGAATTCCTCGAAGCGCTGGCGCAGACTGTTGTCGTCTGTGTTCCAGGAAAGACCGCTAGGAAAGGGCGATCAGCACGTGGTATGTTAGATATCCTGTTGGATCACTCTTACCCAATGAAAAGCTTCGACATTTTGATGGAAATGGGGAGAGATGGAGAGAGGGGGGAAAGGGTGTTAGTGTGAAGAGGGGCACAGCCGAGCCTGATCTTAAATACAACCCGGGACGGAACAACATCACCCCACAGATTCCTGATTCCTCGTTTTTCAGGCTCATTTATTTTTTTTATTGTTTACATTTTTACATTTTGGTTTTAGGTATTTGACGTGATTTGGAATCTGAAGTGTATACTGACTTCATGTATACTTGTTTGGGTAATATGTTTACTCTTGTAGCTTTGTCATACATAGTGGACCCATATCCCCACGCTGTCGATAGGAGGGGTCTAGTATGGGCATAGATGCACTTCATACATATGGCACCATATTAAACAGTATATTATTCACTATAAAAAAATATAAAAAATATAACAATTGAACAAACAAGAATGTCAATAGTATGATGGTGAAACATGACAGAGAACTTCCCTGTTCTCGTCATGAGGTCATCCGATCTAGATCACCCCACCCGTGGATCTTCTCTATAAAACCTTCTCTGCCACTTAAAATTGAACTAACTTCTACAATCCATACTTCCAAGACAATACTCAACATGCCTGTCATTGAACTCACTAGGTAACTTCCCTGCCCTCCCCCTCCCTTGCACAAACACAAACTAATACCCACCACAGCAAAGCCAACTTCCTAGAGAAGATCCTTAGCTCAGAAGACCCCGTCCTCCTCGACTGCTACGCCGATTGGTGCTCACACTGCAAAGCCATCGCACCCAAGATTGAAGAATTGAGCAACGTCTACACCCAGGTTAAATTCTACAAGGTGGATGTCGATAAGGTCGAGGATGTCGGGCAGGAGCTAGGTGTACGGGCTAAGCCTACATTCATGCTATTCAAGGGCGGGGACAAGATCACTGAGGTTGTTGGGGCTCACTTGTCTTCCATTGAGGAGGGGATCAAGACTCATCTTATTTGAGTGAGAGGGGGTGGTCGACTTGTTCTTTTTGTATCCATTGTGGTGCTTGCGCTCGTGGTATTAACACATGCATTCGGTCATCTATACACTGGTCACTTTGTAATGGGGGCATGTCATCAATCAGACAGCTACTATCTGATTCTGCTTTTAATCGGTACAGCGCTTTTATTAAAGCTGCCCGAGGGGAATAAATATTCTGAACTATAATTCATTGCTGTAGTGAATTGATACAGCTATTGCTGAGCATTGGGCATTGCATATCCCATTATCCCATGTACATTCACACAATACACTTTGCAACCTACAACAAAAAACTGAAGTAAACACCAAAAATGTTCTCAGAAGTCCAACCTATATACTACCCCGACATCTATCTCGCACTATACCCGGGTCTTATCATATCCCATCTAATCTCCACTAAAACCCAGCAGCAATCCTATAAGGCAGGGGAACAGTAGGCCAAACATCAACCCCATCCAACATCGCCAAGACCATCCCACCACTCTGATGAACCTGAATATGACAGTGCATTATGAATGCACCAGGATTAATAACATGATACCTCAGTACCGTCCAAGTCAAACCCGTCACAGCTGGCAGTGTATGGAATGTGTCACGATACTGTGGCGTCTGCAGATTAAAGTTACCAGGAACAGCCTGAACAGCTTCCGCGACCGAATTCCAGGTAAAGGTACCATTTCCCTGACCGATGATAAAGTGTTTATTCGAGTGCTTGTGGATCGGATGCGGGGGCTGGAGAATGGTATCCGTCTGAAGAATCAGATCGATCCAGGTATTATTCTTCGTTCTGATGATCAAGTCACTGGGAATGGAGTTCTGGTTGAAGAGCAGAGGCTGTGCCTCCTCGAGCTCGAGGCCGTAGCTGGTATTACCAAGTCTCCAGCGGAAAGCACGGCCGACCTGGTTGATATGCAGGAAGAAGGTTTGTGCAATATCGTTTGAAGGGACGATTGGTGGGAACGGGACGACGCTGTTCTCGTCGAGGAAGACGGTGTCTGGCCTGGCGGGTTCGTTGTTGATTTGGATCCACGGGTTGGTTGGGCGGTTTAGCTGGCGGAAGCCTTCGTATCGCATTGTGGCGGTTGTGTTGAGGATCTGATTTATGCTGGCGCTGACCATGCGCACGGTGTAGTCTCCGGCTGGTCTGTTGAGGGGGATCATTACCGAGTAGCGGTTTGAGTTTGGGATGGTGAGTGCGTTGACTCTTCGGGGCTGAATGTATCGTCCGTCTATGGCGTAGACCCACATGTCGTGCTCGTCGATTGAGAAGGTGAGCTCTAGTAGACCGGCTGTGCTGGTGAGATCCCAGCTTACGTATTGGTGGGCTGCGTTGACATAGAAGATCTCTTGGGGACCTTGGGATGGTACACAGCCTTCGAACATCATTGGGGGGATGACCTCGTAGTTGTGTGGGAAGTCAAATACTGTGTCGGTGATGTTGGGTGGGAAGCATCTAGTGATGAAGTTAGTTTATCACTGCGCCCACCAGTAATAGTCATTGGACCATGACGGAACAATCTACTCACGCCATATCTGTCAATCTTAGATTATCACCTAGACTTATTCTCTGAAGGTCTGTTGTCAGGGCGTCGATCTCAGCACGTGGCAGACAGGTGATGGACCCTTTGCCATTAATGAGCAAAGCATTGGCACAGAATGAGTCTGCACCAGAGGCCAACTGGGCAGCCCAGATCTCCTCCGACGTGAAAACACGCCACTCCGAAAGCAAGACGGGACAGGTAACGCTCTCTGCGCGGATCATGGCCCTCAGCTGAGTAGGATTGGTTGTGATAAGACTGAAAGGCTTCTGCACCGAGGGGGCAGGAGTGATATAGATTGGCCCAAAAAGCCCATCTTCGAGAGAGCCACGGTGATGCGCGTGGTACCAGTAAGCCCCGTACTCGGTTGCTGTCCACTTATACAGGAACGAAGAGTTTGGTCTAATCGATCTCTGCGAGACACCGGGGACTCCATCAGACCAAGGTGTTCCTATTTGTTCAATTCCTAGAAGATGCCGAGTTAGTATATGCCAAACCAGATCAAGCTATCCAAGAGCTTACCATGGAAGTGTATAGTTGTATTGAACGGGCACCGATTATCGACGAGGAAATGAACAGTGTCACCCTGGTTGATCCGCAGCGGGGGAGCAGGAAACTGGCCGTTTGTTGAAATCACTGGCCTAGATACTCCTGCCACGGTTCTGTTCGACCACGTCAAGGTAACTGGAAAGAATACCGTAGCCGCAGATGCCCATTGAACGAGGCATAGAAGCCAGAGGGACAGGCTTCCTAGAGGGAACTTCATATCCAAAGATGACAATAGAGTGGCAATCTGTACCAAAATGAATGGCCCACTCTTAATATACTATGCTCTCCACGGGATTCCCACCCTTTTATGTGGGCCTAGGGGAAGTCATGGAACATTACGAGAGCATATGCATCCCGAGCTTTCCTGCGGGTCGATCACACCAGATGCAGGATTTCCATGGAAGTCTCTTCCTTGCAAGCTCGTAAAGAAGAAAAGCAAATGAATGATCTGTCCATACTTTTGTCGGGGACCAATCTAACCGGCCGGGGAATGGGCGGAGGGGAAATTCATCCGAGCATCAATATATTGATCTTGGGTCTTGAAGCCTGCTTCGCAGCTAAGCCAATAATCCAAGGCAGCGGCATTAGCTCGTATTCTTTCATTTCAAGCAAGGGGACGTGATTGGGAAGAGCAGGCCGACTCCGGGCGAATGAACGGGTCAAAGTTCAAGATACCTCATTCAGATGTCGGAGGCAGTAGTTCCGAAGAGTAGCTTGGCAGTGCTGTAGGGATGAACCTCCGAGGAAAGAGTTTGCACCTGCTTATGTGTAATCATGGAGCATTAAGCGGGTAGGTCTAAGACAGGGAACCCTTTGCGCTTTGGCACGTTCCTGAGGTGGTGTATCCGGCTCGAATGGCGCATGCTGGGTGCACAGTTCCCACAGATTTGGTCAGAGTTTCGGTACTCTACAGGTCACACGGATGAGAATAAATATCACTGGTCTGATCAAAGAACTGTCGGTCTCGGTCATCATCGGACTGTGAGTCAACCAGTCGCAAATCAGGTTTCATCGAAAAAGCGTCGGCCGAAACCGCAATCCCGAATTTACCACGGAGCCACGTGCCGGTAACTGAATCAAGGTACCAACTTTTAGGATGAAACGAAAGCCTTAAGTGAGGAAGAGTATACAGGAGAACTGGGGAGCCTTGGATTTCAAATCGAACCACCCGCCACAAGAGTGACGCGTGGAACCTGCCTAGGTGGAACTAAGGGTTGAAACAAGAGGAAGATGAAAAACGCCAATTGATTTCTGGTATTGTCGAAAAGGAGATTAACATCAAAGTTATATGCTATGAAATAAGAAATATTGCAACAATTTTGTAGAGCCAACTTTTCTTGCCATGTATGACCCTACATGGCGGAAGTAAATAGCCACCAAAGACATCAAAAGTTACTATTGCCAAAGTAGCCTGGCATGTCATCATGGGTGGCATTCGATGCAGGAGGGTGGTCCACTTTGGAATTGAAAATACCAACCTGGCCTGAAGCAGGCACCTCACCCATACGAGACGGGGAGATAGGCTGACCAAGTAAGTCTCTATTTGGCCATCCTTGTCCCCCAGAGACTTTTTGACCATCTAGTTGCAAGCCTTCCAAATCATCCGGGTTGATTTCACCGTAGCTGTCATTCAGTCGTTGTAGGAATTCTGGGTCAAATCCCATTTGTACCAGAGGGTCAGCTGTGCCTTCTCCAGGCACAGACGCAGTAGTCGGAAGACTACTAGCCCAATCCGTAGAGAAGGACGGGTCAGGACCAGCTGACATCATCCCTGCACTGCCAGCGTAACTTCCTGATAAACTGCCCGGTCGGCTAGGTCCGGCAGAAGAAAAGCCGGTACCAGGGAAGCCGTGACTGCGAAGGCTAGGACTAGAGACTGCGGGGCTGTGGAGGGGTGCCCCGTGGCAGACTGTGCGCGCTAGCACATTAATCTCCCGGGGTGCAGCCCGGAGACCACCATTGATAGCGAATGGGGGCTGCATGCCCAGGTCAGCAAACTGGATGCTGTCGTTGTTCACGGGAGTTTCTAATCCACAATCGCGCTTGAGGACACCCAGCCAAACAATATTATCTGCGCAAGTCTGGTTCCAAGGATCGTCACATCCATAGATGACACGGCGAGCTTCTGCTTGTATCATCTGATCTGACGGAACAACGCCTTGTGCCTTTTGGTTATGGATGTATGTAGTGAGTTCGCGAGAAAGGCGGTGGTAACAATTGATATCTGTAGGGACAGGAAGCCTAAGTGTGCTGCCGTCTCCTTTAGCTTGTTCAGTGGCCCAGGGATCAGGGGACCGCCATTCATAGTCAATCATGTACGGCGGAATAGCGTTTTCCACGCGAGCTTGAATCTGTGGGTCAAAGCCCCAGTCCCCTTGCCATTGAGCCATGCTGGCTCCATTTTTGAAATGACCGGCCAAATGGTCCACTCGATCTTTCCATGTTTGGAAGATGGAGCCACAGAACCCACAGCGGGATTTGATATCTGTAATACTGCTTTGCCATTTCTCCATGCAGGGTTGGAACTTGGCATTGTGCATCAAGCGCAGGTGTTGGTTGAGATGATCCTTCCGGTAAAATGTTCTCTCTTGCACTGTCTTCTCTTGGCAACTGATGAAGTTATGAGTTTCTAGGTGTTCATCGTCTGGGTTAGCTGCCAAGCAGAAGACACAAAGAGCTATACCGTTCTGTTCAAATGCACCGCCCTGGGGAGAACAAGTCCATTTGTCCAAGATTAGATGCATGGACTTCTCGTGCCGCTGCCAGTCATACTTAGCAGGGAATGAGTCGGTACAGAAGGTACATTGGTAAGGACGAGCAGATTTGGCCTTCGAATGGGCGAGAGTATTGACAGGCACTGAGGGTTTACGGCGGCGACGACGTTCTTTGCGATCCATTGAGCCAAAGGAAAGAGAGGATCGATGAGAGAAAGCAGAAGCAAAAGAGAGATCGGAAATAGATGAATCAAAGCTACTGGCAGAGGCGGTGCACAGTTTATGTTCGGAGCTGGCATGGCTTGACTCATTGTTACTAGACTCAGGGCGACGGGGCCTCACGTGACTCGATGGGCCCGGGTGTGGACGCGAGGGGTCGAATGGAGGATTGGCCAGGGCACGGGTAATATCGCTGATCGTAGCCGGTTCGTTTTCGGGGGAGAGTACTTCCAACGTTCAAGGGGAGTCATAAGGGATACGTTGACGGATTGCTTCATGGGGATGTCCATAGCTCCTGGAACGGGGGAACTGGTCCCAGGCGACGCACGAACTTTGCCGCGCCGCCTGGCATTAGCGAACCAATTGGAAATTTGCGTCCGGGTTAGACCAGTGAGTTGCTTCAGGTCATCTCTCTCTTGCTCGGTAGGATAAGGGTTCTCGTTGTGGTCTCTGAGCCAGCTCTTCAGGATGTTGATTGCCTTGCGCGAAAATCGGGCTCCACTTTTTTGAGAGCGTGCATCTGGATCATTGGTCTTGTATGAAACTGATTTGAGGGCTTTCTTTCCCGTCAGGCTACCTGTAGGGACATAGGCATTCTCTGACACGCTATGCAATGTCTGGAGGAACTTGCCAGGCGTTTTGGCATGGGTAAAACTGCATTCACGCCAAAGCGAGATACAGCAAGTACAGCCATGGTTCATTATACCACGTTTTGCAACAAAACAGTCCAGGCCCATTCGTCGACAAAAGTCGCATGGTTCCTGGGCCCGGAACATGGGGTAGACTCCGTCGGGGTCAATGGCTTGTCCGTCATTCACTTCGGACTGCTCCGGTACCGGGTCATTGGAGAACTCCAATGTCTGATCATGAACCAGCGAGTTGAAGTTCGCTGCCTGTTCTTCGGCTTCGTCGAGTTCAATATCAATCGAAGCGACATCGTCATCTAGTTGATTAGAGCCATGGGCAGACGAGGCCCTTTCGAAATCGAAATACTCCATGTTGTGAACAACTCCAATGGGAAATGCTGCACGGAGAACAGCTTTTTCAGAACCAACCGAATGATGGAACAATAAAGGACACGGTAGAAAGTAGGAGAAGAGTCGGTCAGATGAAAACTGGCGGAAAGTACCCTTCCAAGGTTGGTCTGGGGTAGAAAGGTGGGTGAATAATCAATTCGGGTGGAGCTCTATGACCTTGGAACTCGAGGTGGGCACCAATTCAGCCGCTCAGATTGCCGGTGACTCGGCATGGACCGCTCAGAGACAAACCCCGTGTGGCTGGAAACTTTTTTTTTTTTCGCGATAAGCATCATAGTCACGAGGAATAAGAGCAAAGCACATGTTTGCGTATCCACCGCATCGTCAAACTCCGACAGAGGAAGTACAACATAGTTAATTCGAGGAAGTCCACCCGGAGTAAACGGAGAAAGGCTTTGAGTGGACAATCCCAAATCAAAATCCAAAATGGATGCGTCGACACGCCCTTCGAACGACAACGCTAATCCTATTTAGGTTAAGTTCGGTCAATGTGGGGGTGTTGCCAAGCCCTTGGTGATTCATCTCTCTCCGCGATATCGGACGCTTGTTTTTCTCTTTATATATGTGTTGTGTAAAAAGTATACTATCTCATCTATGAACACGAGATTATACGAGTAGAGGCATATATTTTAAACTTAATACAGAGATGGGCCTACACTTGGAACGGCCGAGGTCCCCATAAACGAACGCCATCACCCACGAACTATATATAGACTGGGGTCTTTTAACCTCAGATTTCCCTTTATGTGTCGTGTTGGATTACATGCAATTATTGGCAATTCTCTATGAATTTTCTTACTCAAATACCTTTCCTTGCTCTTGGCTCTCTCGGTTTTGTTCGCTATCCCGGACTGCAAAATCACACCTGCTCATTCGTCATGGCCTTGTTATGATGAGTGGGGGCGCGTTAAATGGCTCTATTGGAGGTGTCTTGATCAGTTGGTCCCAGTTGCCTCATCTTGCTATTGCAGCAACCAGTTTGCCAGAGAATTGTACGAACCTACGGAGTAAATGGTCATATGCAGCATTTCACTCCGCCTTGCCAGAGAGGATTGACTTTACAATCTGGACGAACACCCGCCTGCCAAAGGGTGTAACGGGCTACATAGAGGGGGAAAAGGGCAACAGCATTATTTGCCTAGCACAACCTATGGTAAGTGCTACGATAGGGAAGCATATCGTTACGGCGATGAAATGGAGCTGCCAAAGGAATATTCGGATTGCTGGAAAGGAACGGTACATGCCCTTAACAGTGGGTATGTTATTTCGATGATCGGTACAATTATAATGAAGACCTGTTTTGAGCCGTCATGGTGGCGGTGGAGGTTAATATAGAAAAATTGTTTGTGGAACGTATCCGAGGTTATTTCTCTTATTCCGGTCCCTATGGATGATAGATCGCTTGGCAACGGTACCGAATGCATAGAAGAAAGCGCTCAATAGCCCTAAGCATAAGTGAGGCATAACCTAGCGCCATAGCAGTGGTCGGGTTTATTAGTTTCAATACAGCTACTAACTATATAGATACTATTCTCAACAAGCTAGCAAACCGGATAAGTGACATTGGCTTCTAGTAACTACTTAAAAATTTCGATTGAACTAGCATCTCCCCAGAGTTACTAGTCCTTTGTCAGATCAGATCCTTCGCTTAGCAACAGCACCTGTGCTGTCAGCTTGATGACCAGCCAGTTACTAGGCCGGAGAGAGCCACCAGACATTTCCATTTCCTAGAATAAATGGAGTGCATACTCACAGCAGGCCCTAGCTTCTAAAGGTCTGGAAGCCGGAACAATATTGTTATTCGGACTATAAGGAGGACGTAGACGTGCTAATATATTTCTGCTTAGTGCAGCACATATGCTCATGCTTTCACACTAGCGACCAATGCAACGGGTGACGAAAGTAACTAAGTCTTTCGAAGCTGCTGCTGATTACTATAAATCCGTCGGACCCATCTAGAGAAGATTAGTACCCGAAACTAGGTTCTATATGAACGAAGGCTACCCATTCAGTGGCGCCTTGAACAAAGATTGCTATGGCAAAAACTACGACTATCTTCTTTCTTTCAAGCACAAGTATGATCCTTCAGAGAGTTTGTGTTATGGTGAATGCCCTGGTGCCTAACTGATGCCTCAGGCATATAAACTCGTGTTTGCTAGATAGTTGTTCCAAGGGAGCTTTAGGAACTTGCTTTGTCTTCTCCTAATACAATTCTCCCCTTCTCGGTCTACCCAGTAGTCCGTCACAGTTTGTTTGGAGTGGTGACACACTGATTTCTGGAAGAATGACCCAACGATTGGTCTGCTATGCTGAGTGGCATCACGAACATAGCAAGACTTCCTTTTGGAAGTAAAGCCTTTGGGCTGGGCTTTCTTTCCCCCCCTTCTTGCGTAAGAGATAGAAATAAGAAGAGCATAATGTGTTCTCCGAGTATATTTTCCTTCCTATCATTTCCGTTTCTTTGTGTTTTTGTACATGGAGACAACATAACATGGTCCAAGTCATGTGCGAAATACAGTATATATGTTTCTATTGACACGCTAGACGAGTACTTTGTAGACAAAATTCATTATCCTAGTGAATTCGTTCTCCGGCTGACCTGCCTTAAGTAATATACTAGCTGCGGTAGTCCGAGCTCTCCCCATCATTCCAAAATTAGGTCACAGGATTCTGGATAAATTGCAGGATAAAAGCGCTCGTTTGTCATCGCAGTGCCAAGTTTTGGGCTTTACTTGGGCGCCGAGGAATCGACATATGGTGGCGTTTTTCATTGTCTGCTTCAACATCTCGAATTTATACGTACACGGCCTCTGTGAGACTAAAACGTGTGTTGCATTTCGGACCCAGATCAAAACACATCATTAGCATTATGACCGAGGAAATCACTACTATAGGACTCGGAGACAGGCATATCCATCGGCCATTTCCCATACATTTTGTATGGTAATTTGGACTTGTACTGGAAGTGCAGGGGTGTAGTGGGCTAACGGAGAGAGTTCCGGGCCTCGGGGAAGCCATGGGTATTGACAACACAATACGAGGTCTATGTGACCCCAAATACTAGCTAGCGCCAGTCCTTTGCCCTTGCCTTGTCTATTCTCTATACAGATAGCAGACGCCACCAGAGGCTTATGATTCAAGTTTAAGTGTATTATCCTTTGATTTTATCCTTTTTTGCCGTCCGGTTATTCCATTGTATTAAACTTGCAAGGATGTATAACACCTAAAAGACCTACAACTCCCTACCCCGTTCAACTTGCAGAATTCGACCCACCCTCGATCGATCACCATGGGGAAAATCTACACACTAGGATTAGCAACATTTGCTGCAACGGGCAGCTTTCTGTTCGGTTATGATTCCGGTATTTTGACCTCACTACCCACCAGTCGAATATGGGACTGATATTATAGGTGTCATGACCGATGTGATCGCCTCGCATCACTTTCTGAATTTCTTCAATACGACCAAAACATCCACAATTATCGGCGCGATCAACAGCACATTTTCAGGCGGAGGTTTGTCTTATACTATGGTATTTGCAGAGTCAATCAAGAACTGACAGCGACGTAGCGGCCATTGGTGCCCTCATGGCGGGTCTAACGATCGACCGATTCGGACGTAGGATGACAATCCAGATGGGTGCGTTACTGGCGACTGTTGGCGCTATCCTCCAGTGTGCTGCTCAGAATCTGGTCATGATTTTAGTTGGACGAATTATCGCTGGCTGGGCAGTGGGTGTGCTCAGTATGTCTGTTCCGGTTTACCAAGCCGAATGCGCTCATCCAAAAACTCGTGGCTTGTAAGAACCTGCAATTCAAAAAATGATATTATCTAACACATGACCTGTGCAGGATTGTCGGACTTTCACAGCAGATGATTGGTGTTGGCTTCATCGTCAGCACGTACGTTGCTCCTATCTTCTTCCCTTTGGACCGCAATACTTATGCATATTAGGTGGATTGGATACGGTTCCCTTCATGCCCCCGACACCAACTCCTTGCAATGGCGATTCCCACTCGCGTTCCAGGCACTTCCTGCATTTATGTTGTTCGTAGGAATGTTTTGGCTCCCCGAGTCCCCTCGCCATCTCATCGAAAAAGACCAGGACGATGAGGCGCTACGCATCCTGAAGCGCTTGCACTATGATGGCTCCAACATGGAATGGATCCAAACTGAATTCACTGAAATCAAAACCACCATAAACGCTGAACGGGCCATCACGGCTCCTGGGTGGACAATCATGTTCAAGGTACCACAGTGGAGGACTCGGTTGTTGTAAGTTGCCCACACCTTACCGGATGTCCGGATTCTAAAGTTCGCCAGGCAAGGAACATTGGTGCAGGTTTTCTCTCAAATGACCGGCATCAACGTTATTAACTACTACCAAAATATCATGTCAGTTCTCCACCATTGACATTAGTTCAAATATTAACCCACGATAGGTACGAAGCATTAGGCATTACCGGGAACCGAGCCACCCTCGTCACCGGGATTTACAACGTCGTCGGTCCCCTGGCAAACCTCGTTTTCATCACTTTCGTCCTCGATCGCATCGGCCGTCGCCGCCCCTTACTCTTCGGTGCCGCCGGAATCACCATTGCACTCGTCTGCGAAGCAGCCCTGAATTCGCAGAACGAGGATGGAACAAAGACCGGCTACAGCATCGGTGGTGTATTCTTCCTCTTTGCGGTAACGGTCTTGTTCTCGATGTCCTTTGGCTCGATTGCCTGGGTGTATATGTCCGAGGTTATGCCGATGCAGATTCGTGGTAAGGGCGTCGCATTTGCTACAGGTGTTGGCAATTGGACGGTTAGTACGCTATGGAGCCAGGTTTCACCCATTGCGCTGGGTAAGATTGGCTGGAAGTTTTATTTGATTTTCGCGGCATGGAGTATGTTACCCCTCTTACCTGTCCGTGCGGTGATACTGACGAATCCAGATGTCTGCGTTACGATCCCCACAATCTTTTTCTGGTTTAAGGAAACTAAGCAGAAGTCGCTCGAGGAGATTGACCTCCTGTTTGGTGGAAGAGCACTTGGCGCTCTGAACGATAATCTCGACTCGAAAGCTTTAGAATTGGAGTCTGCTGGGACCGCTAGACAGGTGGAGAATGTTACTGTATAGATGATATTCAGCATGTTGCATGGTGGGACTTTCGATATTTTCATGAGATATTTGGATTTTAGTGTGTCTATGGGAGGATGGACTGAGTAGGAGATAGATTGGAAGGCTGAGGGAATAAGGCAACTATACCGATTTGCTACAAGTTTGCACCGTCCGTACATCATCTTCATCTCATATTATTTTCCCCTTAATCCCAAGTCTTCATACAATATTCACCTACTCTGCCTGATTGCCGGTCTACCAGATCTGATTGTTGAGATCCGGACAATGGGTCGGAGCCCTCCGAGGTATCCTCATGAATGACATGTTCTGCGGCATCCATAGACTCCAGTTTCTGCCAAGCCCGGTTAAACAAGATACTGCACTGCTATTCCTGTTTTACAAGGGAATGGGGTCCATTTCAGATAGCGACGTGAAATTTGAGACATGTCACATGCTTGTCAGCCGATAAAAAGCTCTCGTTCATTCTCTTTTCCGTGGAGCATCTCCGCATTATCCCGCATTTTCCCCGAGGACCTTGTGGGATGCCGATCACGGTTACGCTAAGCCAAAGTTGATACGTGACTTGCTCCGGACCATATTGGGTTAACAATACGAGTAAAACAAGCAGTTTACGAGACAGGCACTGTTACTACTAGTACGAATTAGTTCTAGTAAGTTTCAAGGTGGCTCGATTGCCGTCTGCACAGGACCCTGAATCTGGGGGAAGAGCTTCCAAGGGGTTGATTGATCTACAAGCTCGCTTCTATCACTATGCACCACTTTAGCCAATTTATCCGGGCTTGTATATTCCAAGAATCTCACAGTGGCCGTTTGGTATTGGATAATTGCAATGAGACATCGCAACTTACTCGGATGTTTGGCTGGGAGGATTGCCCTGTCTCAGCCTAATTTCCTGCCTACCACACATGCTTCTTGATATTCAAGATATTGTATATAAATATTCAAAACGCACTCGTGAAGTCAATTGCTTCAGCAGGCTACCTTTGGATTGAACCTTCCAACCCTTTGCTGCTGAGCTGTTTATTCGTTATTATGGTGATCTTTTCTTTCCTTGCTATCTTAGGCCTGGCAGCTGCGTCTGCAGCGGCCTCGCCTCAGCAGTTAGGCTACAAGGATGCATCCCTTCCAGTGGAGGAAAGAATTTCTGATCTACTCTCCCGGATGACCATCGAAGAGAAGACGGCCCAGTTGATCCAAGGTTCGATATACATAGTCTCTCCGCGTCATTGCAGAGCTTGGGAATATTGCACTAACGTAACGATGAAATAGGTGACCTTGGGAACTGGATGAATAAGACCACTGGAGCGTTCAATGAGAGCGGTCTCATTGAGAATATGGCTCTCAAAGCCGGAAGTTTCTACGGTAGATAGCTTTACTCCCAGTATTAGGCCAGCACTGACCACTTATCGCTTCATAGCTGGATATCCGACATCTGCATCCTCAATTACCGAAAATATCCAGAGGGCTCAAGACTATCTTGTCAATAAGACGCGACTTGGGATTCCGGCCATTGTCCAATCTGAAGGTCCGCCATGTCGCAGCCATTGATGGACCAAGCTTACACCGACGCAGGTATTCACGGATTTCTGCTAGTCAATGCTACAATCTTTAACTCTCCCATTGGATACGCCTGTGCTTGGGATCCTGAGGTATATCTGTCCACCATATTTCGGAAAGTTCTTTTGCTAAAACCCTTGAAGCTAGTCGAGAAAATGGCCAACATCATCGCTCAGGAAGCTGCGGCTATTGGTGTCAACCAGATCTTTTCGCCAGTTTCTGACCTTGCCCGGGAATTGCGATACGGCAGGGTGGGTATTTGCCTCAAATCTGAGAATGTCGGTGTTGTGTTAACAAGATATCACATATACAGGTGGAGGAAGGTTTCACCGAGGATCCATATCTCTCTGGAGAACTCTCATACGCAACAGTTGTTGGCCTTCAGAGCCGGAATGTTTCCGCAACTGTCAAGCACTTTATCGGTTACAGTGAGCCTGAACAGGGTTTGAACACTGGTCCAGTTCATGGAGGTGACAGGGAGTTACGCACAACGTAATATTATCTTCCCCTACAATGGAACATGGCGCTGATCTCCGTTTGATTTATAGATGGATGCCGGCCTTCAAACGCGCAATTGTGGATGCTGGGGCGTGGAGTATCATGTCAGCTTATCACTCGTACGTTCTCTTGTTTGCTCTCTCTCATCTCTCTCCCCCTCCCTCTCTGTTTCTCTCTCAATCCTTGGTCTCTCACTAAATACATACAGCTATGATGGAATCCCTTCAGTCTCCGATGTCTATACCCTGACCGACATCCTCCGTGGCGAGTTGGACTACAAGTACTGGGTCGTCAGCGACGCGGGTGCCACCGACCGGGTCTGCACATATTTCAAACTGTGTCAGGGCAACCCCATTGACTCAGATGCAGTAACCTTGGAGGTCCTTCCCGCTGGCACCGACGTGGAAATGGGAGGCGGATCATTGTATGTCTCATTCCTTCCAAGGTTCATTCCACACCTGGTTTACTAACACGTTACAAAGCAACTTCAAACAGATTCCGAGCCTCGTCAAGGATGGAAGATTGGATGTCAAGACTGTGGATCAGGCAGTATCACGACTCCTCCGCGCCAAGTTCGAAATGGGCCTGTTTGAGAACCCATTCCCCGCTGCCCCACAAGACCAGTGGCCTTCTTTGATGCATACTGATGAAGCGATTGATCTGGCTCGTACAATAGACCGGGAATCGATCGTGCTCCTAGAGAACCACAACAACACTCTTCCTCTCAAGAAGACGAACAAGATTGCGGTTATAGGTCCTATGGCTCATGGATACATGAATGTGAGTACCCAGAAAGCAGCCCCTATCAGTTTACTAATGCCTCTATTGCAGTACGGAGACTACGTTGTACAGGGAAGCCAGAACCGCGGAGTGACGCCTCTTGATGGGATACGTGCTGCTGTTGGCGAATCGGCCAAGATCACCTATGCGCAAGGATGTGAACGGTGGAGTAACGACCAGAGCGGTTTCCCGCAAGCTATCCAAGCAGCTAGGGAGGCGGATGTCGCGGTAGTCGTCGTGGGTACATGGTCTCAGGGACCAGGAGGAGCTCTGGGCTGGCGTTAATGCTACGTGCGTTACATATCATCTTTCCCTTCCCCTTCCCCCTCGGTTCTAGTCTTATCCAGAGTCCTGGCTAATTTAGATCTTAGGACTGGCGAACACGTCGATGTCAACAGCCTCAATCTCGTCGGTGCGCAGGCCGACCTCGTTCGTGCCATCTCCGACACGGGGAAACCCACAGTCGTGGTCTTTTCTTCGGGTAAACCCATTACAGAGCCCTGGATTGCCAATAGCACTGCGGCCTTAGTGCAACAATTCTACCCATCTGAACAAGGAGGAAATGCTCTGGCTGACGTCCTCTTCGGTGACTACAATCCCTCTGGTCGACTGTCTGTGAGCTTCCCTCACGACGTGGGATCTCTCCCGGTGTACTATGACTATCTCAATTCAGGCCGCGCAATTGGAGATTCCGGACACGTTGGTGCCAATGGAACCATTGTCTTCGGACATCAGTACGCGATCGGCACGCCGCAGCCATGGTATCCCTTCGGATACGGCAAGTCATACTCGACTTTTGAGTATTCGTCTATATCCTTGGATAAAGCAAATACCACGGTCAAGGACACACTTACGGCCAGTGTCGATGTCACGAATACTAGCCCCGTGGATGGAACGGAGGTTGTGCAGCTATACATTGTCGACACCATTGCCAGTGTCGATGTGCCTAATCGCAAGCTGAAGGCGTTCAAGAAACTTCGTGTCAAAGCTGGTGAGACAGCTACCGTCAAACTTCCTGTCTCCATTCAAGGAATAGGACTGTGGAATAGGAAGATGAAGTATGTTGTGGAGCCGGGCGAGTTTGCCGTGCTGATTGGAAGAAGCGCGACGGATATTGTTGGAAACGCCACCTTTTACGTTTCTTGAGAGAATACTTCAGACAGTTGTCTTTTTCAATTGTTCATTCAAGAGACTACTCTGCATAATATCTCCATTTAACAAGCTACATCGTTAACTATAGAGACCCACTATCTTCAACTTCTTTTTTAGGTTAAAGCATTTAGTGGAGCCGCCCTACGATAAGGCCTTTGGTGGAAATTCGAAATTCGAAATTGAACCTCATCAAAATCTGGCAATGTTTCAACTCTTGCCAACAATTCAACAGGTATCTAGTTTGGAATACATACCTCAATGTCGTGAATCCCATACTTCATTCGAAGCGGCAACCCTACTTCCCGTTATCTTGAATATGGAACAAGAAATCGACCCCCAAGAGCGCGATTCGCCTAAAATCGCACCTGAGTCAGACCATGACCCATACCCCGAAGGCGGCTTGAAGGCATGGTCTGTGGTTCTTGGGGCGTGGTGTGCTATGATTTCCTCAATGGGACTTTTGAACAGCCTAGGAACTCTTCAACCTTGGACAAGTACCCACCAACTCAAGGATTACTCGGAGTCAAGTATCGGTTGGATTTATGGAGGTTACACATTTTTCCTTTACTTAGGAGGTGTCCGATTTGGTAAAAATCATTCTCGTCATGTCGAGTCCGGCCTGAACTAACTCCCATTTCAGGTGCAATCCTTGATTCCCACGGACCTCTATACGTGATACTCCCGGGCTCTATTGGGATAGTACTTTCATTAATCTTTTTAAGCTTCAGTCAAGGTATGTTCCTGATATCAACCCATGGCTCTCCCTGTCATATTACCGTCTCTGCGAACTCCCAAGAAGAAACAAAGTCTAACTGCCAACCAGAATATTATCAGATATTTCTGTCATTCAGCGTCCTCGGCGGGGTATCCGCCAGTACACTTTTCGCGCCTCCATTGGCGGCCGTTGGCCATTGGTTCAATGTTCGACGCGGCTGGGCAACCGGCGTAGCCTGCACAGCGGGAGGCATTGGAGGTTGCATATTTCCCTTGATAATTCTTTTCGCAGCCCCTCGCATCGGCTTCGCATGGGCAATTCGCATAATTGCTCTGGTATGTGCAGTGACATGTTCAATTGCATGTCTCACAGTCCGAACCAGACTTCCCCCCTAAGAAAGCAGGCCCGTCGCTCGATTTCAAGGCTCTCAAAGATATCAAATACGCATCTGCGACGTTGAGCGTCTTCCTTGTTGAATTTGCGGTTTTCGTTCCGATAACATACATCACCTCCTACACACTTCATGCGGGCTTCGATGAACAGATGTCGTATGCAGTTCTTGTCTTTCTCAACCTTGGTGCTGTGTTTGGACGCTTCCTACCGGGCCTGGTGGCTGATCGATTGGGTCGGTTTAACGTTATGATCATGAGCTCCTTTATATGTTCCCTATTCACTCTCACCCTTTGGCTTTCAGCGGATCTAGTTGAACCCCACAGTTTGGGGATGGTCATTAGCTACGCTGTGCTGTTTGGCTTCTGGAGTGGATCGGCTATTAGTATTGCACCAGTTTGCATTTCTCAGGTTTGCGAAATCCAGGATTACGGGAAGAGAGTTGGGACGACATGGACGATAGTCAGCGTTGGCACCCTCATCGCTATCCCTATTGCAGGTGCTATCCAGCAGCATAACAATGGGGAGTTCTATGGGTTGATCATTTTTGGCGGTGTTCTGTACATTTCGTCTACGATTGCCTTCATCGTGTCTCGTGGCATTTGCAAAGGATGGGGCCTGAAGATAAAATTCTAGATGCTTTTATATACTATTCCCACTATTTGAACCCTTCTGGCCGTACAGATGCCTCCTTACTAATTAATTCGAGCATTGTACACGAAAATTCATATGAAAGGAAAGAAGAAGCAAACAATAGACACTTAAAAGGATGCTAAAAAAGCATTAAAAATACGCTGGAAAATATTTCGACATACAAACCTGGAAATTTACACAAACTGCTTACCTCTTAAGGACGGTGAGGCTTCAAACCGCCAACTTCCAAGTTTTCATATTCATCCATATACGCAAAACTTTGCTTTGCTAACTACGAGTAGTAAGGTCTCTATCATAGTAATTCAGGTACTTCAATATGCAGCCTGTCTAAGATCAGATATAGTTAACTAAATGAGGCATATTAAGGCAGAAAAACCAGGCATCTGACCCAAAGGCCGCTATATACCACCGCAACTTCAGTTAAATGCTTTGAGATCTTGCGTGGTTGTAATCATAAGCAACCAACCATCGATAGAACAGGCATTTATCGAAAAAAGGCCCCTGGTCGATCTATGCTATGCACAGACTAACCATCTTGCAATACTATTTTGGGGTTAACTAAAGCTATATATACGGCTCGTAGTGACAGAACTGACTTACATCGAACTTTCCCGAAATAGCTCTAATTTCATCCTCTAAGATGAGCTGTGTGGAAATTATCTGTGTTAAGCTGTAATCACGCTTGCCCTCTGTCTCACCTATCCACTTTGTATTGATATCGGTGTCGAAGATAGGACGTATTGCCTGAATCCCACCATCACCTAAGAAAACATCGAATCCCCGCAGTTTCTGGCCGCGGAGGTCGATTATTACTTGCTTCCCTGGTAGCCGATAGCCAAAAATGATGTTCGGGGTTCCCGCATCTGCACTTATCAGATCAAATCCAGTGATATACGTCTTCGTTCCCTCAGGTAAGATAGACACGGCCAAGCCGATAATGGTTTTCACTGAAACAGTTTGCACAACGGCATAGTGGTATGCATAGCAGGTTAGGCATGTAGTGTGATCTTGCCCCTGTTGGGAAGTTCTATCGCATCGCATCACAGTAGAAGCCTCTTTCCAGGATACTCCAGTAAGCAAATTATTCTGGGGTCTAGGCTGATCGTCAAAGGCTTTAACCATCGAACACCTATCTGCTAGCCATTGATTGTTTCTCCAAATTCGGCGTAAGGTCCAGAGTTGAAGATGTGGCTGGTCGATCCTTGCCGTGCAATGGTAGATCAATCGCCAGTTCTTCCTTTTGCGGTTTTGGGGCGCCTCAGCTAGACAGGCCAGAAACCCGCGGTCTCCGTTTACTCGGAATCTTGTCTTCCAGAATGTCTGGAGTTGGAAAAGAAGTCCCATCGCTCGGGAGGCATATCGAAGGCTGAAGAAATCGACAGTAGAAAGGTAAGCTGCGATTTCAAGCCGTATCTCCATCGCGAGTAAGCCGAAGCAGTCAGTCCCAGAAGTCGGGTTGTTTCTAGAGTGTGTATTTTCGCGTTTCACTTTGGGAAGTTTTCTCGTGGCGTCTCCAGTCCCCCGGATAACAGGTCGTTCCAGAGGATGTCATAGATCTTCCTTTCCCATCGTGGGATTTAGATCTATGTGCATAGGTGTCAATCAGTATGACTATTCTCGTAGGGATAAAAACCTCACCTTCGACAGCTCTTGCTGAGCCAGGGATATTCTTGCAGACTTCGAAAAGCCTATTCAAATCGACCTCCTCGTTTGCAAAGTGCTTAACCAAGGCCGACCAACAAGACTCATGGAACAAGAAAGCCTCATTATCCTGTGCCTTATTATGCCAAGGGCCGTATTTCTCAAAATCCCAATCACTCAGGGGAGCCTCAAGATACTCTTCAAGCCAGTCAAAGTCGGTTACAGCAACATCCGACAACTTGGTTCCGTCGGGGGTTAAATACACTATGAATGTTGAGTTTGATGAAATACATAATTCTATACTCCCCATCCACTGCGAACTTACCCGCTCGATATCTTGCCATCCAAGGATAATCGGGATCGGGCATGAAAAGCGATAAGCAAGAGAAGCAGAGAAGATAAGGACATGGGCTTGTTTTGGACATGGGCACCGTGGGATTCAGTGATTCAGTGTCCATGGCCTGTCAAATTTCATCAATAGGATTATAATCGAATATCTGATACAAGGCGCTGATTGCAGGCGAGATATAAATAATTAGGTATGAAGCGGTCATCGTGACATCAACAAGGAAAATAAATGCTTCATTTCCTTGGGGTTGGACACTACACTTCTGTCGAAGTCCATACGAGGCAATATTTCAGAGCGCAAGAAGCAAAGAAAGATCCGATGGATGGATATCTAGGTAGTGCTCTCCACTATGGGCATGTAGGAATGTTAATGATCGCCCGGAACAAGAGAAACAAAGATAACGGAGAAAGCGTGCTCTTGCCCAATCCTACTCTTTCTCGGTAGCTAGGATTGCTTCTACCCTCCAGATATCCCTCGCGAGCCTCGTGATATCCTCATGAGTCATGGTGAAATCGTCCTCGTTACCTAGGGGATCTCGGAGGAAAAGGCTTCTGAAGGGTATCTCGAACCCCCCACCAATGATAGGATCTTGGGTAGACGGTCGTGGTTTTTCGATCCACATTTTTTGAACTGGGGCTGCGATAACTCGGTCCGGATGGTCTCTGGTAGGCTGATGTCTTAGCCCCCCACTGCTCGAGTGTGACTCGTTTGCTCTGTCGATGCACAGACGCAGTCATCGCAAACTCGACTTGCCCTTGCGAAGCTTGAAGCCATAGCCTCATGTCTTGTTCGACCTTGTATCTTAACTCGGTATAGATGACTTCGAGAATAAATGTGGGCCATTTCATTGACCGAGGTGGAGGAACGGCGAATGGGTGAATTACCTGATCTGCTCTTTTTTGGATTGTCGCCAAAATTCCGTCATGCATCGAGGGGACCCCATTGTCATCAAAGACGGTGAGTTTGTAATTTCCAGTTCCAGTAAAGAGTAATTCGGACCCGACGTTCATGGCATGTGCCTTTTGATCGATCCATCTCGTTACCGCCATCGCCGCTGAACTATGCCAAAGTGATTCCATCTTTAGAATGAGAACCTCTGTGTTCGGGTCGAAGAATTTTGTGCATATAGTCAACATCTCGTGGTCAGAGTTGCGAATCTCGTCAAATGCACGTTTATCAACGTCGTAGAAAACAATCCACGGCCCATCCGCTCGAGAACCATCTATGAAGCTGGTCGCCGCTGATTCAATTGCGCGAATACACTGCTCGAGATCTTGGTATATATACTCGAGGGTTGTAGAGGGGTATGGGTCTACTATGGCCCGTCCCTGGGCGCTCACCGAGGATGGAGCGGCCATTTTTCAAGGAAGGAATAGGTAGTGGGATCTGGCGAAAAAAAGAGACATATTGGAATCTATGCGCGCTATATTTTACTTATATATTATGTGAATGACGTCTTAGTTACCTTATGACTACCACGTACGATCATTGGTTTAATCGACTTGGCATTATTAACTCTGTTTTCCAGATATACATGTGTTACTTATATAGTCTTACCTAGTAATAAACTTCATGGAAAACGAAATAAAAAGGCTGAAACTAATAGGAATGGGTGAAGGGCCACTCCACTCCTGATGCTCCACTCCACAAATTCCGATAGTACATTTTCGGGCCGATTTATTCAACAATTGTCCGATATGGTGTAGTGGCTAACATCGCCGTCTCTCACACGGCAGCCGGGGGGTTCGATTCCCCCTATCGGAGGCTCGTGCTATGTTTTTTAATATGTATGCATTGCATACAATATCACATTCAAGATGTCAATTCGTTGCAGCCAAGCGCCGGTTAAATTTCATCAAAGTGGCGATTTTTTTAGCCTTTCTGCTTAGAAAGGACAACTTTTTGCTGGAGTAAAAATAGCAGCAGATAATTAATTATATCGTAATGAACTAGATCACAAAGAGAATTTAATGATATAGTAGCATTGGTACTCTGTACACTTAGCATGGTTCGCATGAATGATTCGTACTTTTGTATATGCAGGACAAAAACCTTATACGCCTATATGTATGTACATGTATGCACGCACCTACTATAACCACCTGCTTGCTTCTCTTTGTCGCGTGTAAAAAAAAAAGGTGATACATTTGGTACGCTATCAAAAAGATGTCTCACTGCAATCTCCGATAGGGGGAATCGAACCCCCGGCTGCCGTGTGAGAGACGGCGATGTTAGCCACTACACCATATCGGATTTTGGATGGAAGTCATCGAGATAATTGAATCCTTGAGAATGACCGCTCTCTTCTTATGGTCCGCGACTGATGCTAATCGTTTGAATACTAAACTCATCCTAAAGAAAGAGTGCTATGTTATCAAGATATAGGCTGGGCTTTTAAACACATAGATGGTCGCAAAGGGCTTTAAGTATGTACTATAACTGGACTGATACTTCGTGGTTTTTCACCTTTGTTAGGTGGTGCTTTAGCGCTGCCAAATGTTCGTATATTAGGAGGAGATTCTCAGGATGGTACGCATACTACAGTTAGTAGTCTTTGCCATCTGCGATGAAGATAGCTCCCCACTGTGGAGTATGTCGTATATAAGCTTATGTCTTGAAGGAGCTAGGTTAGGCGCTACTCTGGTGTTACCTCATGATTGGTTGTTAACAAGTGGCCGCACTAAGGGACGATGGCTTCCAAAGTGGGGTTCTCTTTCTTACTTTGCTCTTTGGCCCGTTGACCTTGCCAGCAAGGGTGCGTCTTGGCCACCATTCACGGCCAGAGAGGAAGACATATATTGAGGCCACAAGTCCCTGACGTAGACATGTTTTCGCGTGGAAGACATTGGAGCTCAAGTAGAAATGAGTTGGTTTTGAAAGCCTCGCAAATTATGCGCTAGACTCTCAGTCGCCAAACGCCATCTCCTTTTCTCCATTGGAGGAAATTCAGGATCCTTCCGGGGTCATTTCGCGGGGTAGTGACCGTTCGGGGTAGAACTCGCCGAGCCCATAGTGCGCGGATGAGATGACACCGAGACGTGTCCGACTCAGGGATCCGTCAGGTTCTTTTAAGATCGATAATATTTATCTTGGATCCTGCACGTCCAATCGCTCCCCACTAAGCATTGTATTTTACATAGATAGAGAGATCAAACATCATGAGCATCAGACTTCATGTTCGGAGGCCGGCGTTCGAAGACATTCTGAATGGCTCACGTTAAACATTTGCCCGTGGTACTCCGAGTCAAGCACTAGCGCTTATCCTTTAGCTCCTCGATTAAATTTACTCGCTCATTATGATAGGCTCGACAGAGCTGAACCACCTGACAGGGAGTCAGGAGGGTGGGATTTCAGGCTGCACAAAGAGAAAACTTGGGGGCACAGGCATCGCACTAACTGAACGAGGATTCTGGACTGTCCCCTGCAATCCAAAGCAGGAAATTATCCGGCGAATGGAACGCCACATCTAGACGCAAACCACCACATCCAGCCACAAAATTGCCACTACAGCGTACCCCGCAAAGGAACCATAACATTCCCTCCCGACTAGTATCTATCGGGACTAGTACCTGTCAGATTACTTCGCTCGACAAGATCCCACCATAATCAAATGACGCTGCTACCGTAGTGCCCGGGAAAATGACCATCATGATTGGAGATGTTGGGTTCAGGAGGTCAAGGTCCGGAGCAAACTTCACTCAATTGAGCTCAGATCGGCACCATCCCGAGCGTGTCGTCGCAGGTATAAAGGTCTGAAACCCCAAGTCGTGTCTGCCTCTCTTTCATTCACCCGTTTCTCTCAGAAATCGTCAACATGAATAGCGAAATCACAGAGAAGCAGACCTCAGCGTCGGAGGTCGAGGCGCAGCCCACCTCCATGGGCGGACCTGTTCACGATGTCGGCGAGAAGGTCGACTACGACAGAGCGGGCGCCATCGAAGCCGAGGTGGCCGAACATAATATGACTGTGCTCCAGGCTGTCAAGGCCTATCCCGCTGCCAGCTGGTGGGCATTCGTGATGTCATGCACTATTGTAAGCCCGTTGTCCATGATAGGCAGATCCTTTCTCTAACGTTGCGATAGATCATGGAGTCATACTGTGTTTTCTTAATGGGACAGTTCATAGCGACAAAGAAATTCGCCGAGGACTTTGGTGTACAGAGCGAAAAGACAAATGAGTGGATTATCGAAGTTTCATGGCAGTCAGCATTCCAGTGTAGCGGGCCAATCGGTGCTTTCATCGGTGTATTCATCGCAGGTCCCATTACCAGTCGGATTGGATATCGATGGGCAACCATTGGCGGTCTCATGTTCTTGAACGCCTTCATCTTCATCTTCTATTTCGGCAACAGCCAAGGGATGTTTTTTGCGTCCCAGATCCTGGAAGGCATCCCGTGGGGCATTTTTATCGCCAATGCACCCGCCTACTGTGCCGAAATTGTACCAATGAGATTGAGAGCTCCAGCGACGCAGATGTTGCAGATGTTCTGGGCGATTGGGTCGATTATAGTCGGCGGTATCACTTACCACTACCAATCCAGGCCTGACGCGTCATCGTACAGGTTCGTCAACTTCCATAGATGCCATCGAGGAGCACCGTACTAACAGTCATTCCAGAGTTCCCATTGCACTTCAGTGGATGTTTCCTACTCCCCTCGCTATCCTACTCTTCCTTGCGCCTGAATCGCCCTGGTGGCTCGTACGACAGGGCCGTCTGGCTGAGGCAGAGAAGGCTGTCAGACGCCTTGGACGCGCAAGTGCTAATGATAATCCCGCTGATGCAGTCGCAATGATGCGTCGCACGATTGAACTCGAGAAGACTGAGAAGAAGCCCAGTCTCGTTGAACTGTGGAGAGGTACCGATCGCTACCGCACATTGATTGTGTGCGGTGTGTACGCATCTCAGAATCTGACAGGCAATCTAATTGCTAACCAAGCGGTTTACTTTTTCAAACGTGAGTCGAGCCATTTCCTGCAACCTCACAGTAGACTAACACCAGCTCAGAGGCCGGCATGGCACCCGATACCGCATTTGCACTTGGTCTCATCACTTCTGCCCTCCAGTGGATCATGGTCATGCTCTCTTGGATCCTCACCACGTACCTCGGCCGACGCACCATCTATGTCTATGGTCAATTCATCAACTGTGCATTCTTGGTCGCGCTCGGTATTGCGGGTTCAGTTGGCCGTAGTACTGCGGCTAGCAATGCGCAAGCATCACTTGGCTTGATAGTATCCGTCCTGTTCTGCTTGGGACCCGCCCCTGCCTCATGGGTCATCATCGGAGAGACATCTTCCGTTCGTCTCAGGCCACTGACAACTGGTATTGGACGAGGTGCCTACTACTTGGTCAATATTCCTTGCATCTTCCTTTCCAGCTACTTGCTCAACACTGATAAGTGGGACCTGGGCGGCAAGAGCGGCTACGTCTGGGCTGGTACCGCCTTTATCTGCACCGCCATGTCTTGGATCTGGATTCCAGAGATGAAGCACAGATCCTTCCGTGAGATCGACATTCTGTTCCACCGTCGTGTCCAGGCTCGGAAATGGAAGAAGACGGTCATCGATATCCACGATGATGAGTAGATGGAAATTGCTGTTCGGAGAAGCTCGAGTGGTACTGCTTGTGCAGGAATAGGTGGTAGAGTTGAGTTCCTTACTAGATACTGACAAATCTTGCCCTTACCGTTACGCCTACCTAAGTCTGGTTATATATGCGGATTGAAAATTGTAACGTCTAGAAAATTGCCTTACGTAGCTAGTGCCTAGAATCCTCCCTCGAGGTTAGAACCCTGAATAATATATATACTACTCTATTAGACCCTCCTAGTCTTCGTGACAATACTGACACCTATAGGTTCCACTTCGGTTAGTTAGGCCTAGCGCGGCCTTTGAGGTTCGAAGGTTAGGACTTAATATACATACCGTACTATCGCTCGGTCAGTCTTTGTTTCGTATTCTGATTCAAAATTTCTCATTGCTATCTTGCTACCCGCATATTAACATTGGATCTACGAATTGACAACCAAGGACAAGAGACCAATGAATGCTGATGTGCCACCCAATACCAGAGTCATACCTCCCCAACCAAGGTATAACCTCGCATAGCCAGCGATAAGAGGCCCAACAAACTGACCGATTGCGATGGCCATATTGCAGAACGCATATCCCGTGCCCATCCCACTCCTTTGGTTGGGGTCGACTCCATGTGTCACCTCAATCTCCCGCACAGCATCAGATACCTCAGCCATGACCTGTGCCTGGGAGGTCGTCAGGAAAAGGCCGGCCCCAGTCACCAGCGCAATGAACCCAATTTGGTGACTAGGAGACGGACCGTCGGTTATTCGGAGTGCAACAAGTGGGAAGAATGCCAAGATCAGCTCGATAGCGATCGTTCGACGGCGCTTCCAGTCACGACCGTACCTGCTCAATGGGATGCTGAGGAAACTTGGAAGAGATATTCCCAAGAAGACTAGACCCGCATTTGTTGAGGACCATTTGTACGTCGCCATAGTGAATAGTGGTAGGGTCTGTGACATCGTTAGATACCGAAGTTCGCTGCAATGCCAAGATAATACATAACATACTGTCTCGAATGCGGCAAGGATAGACGAAATTGTGATTTCACTTAGCACTGCTGTCATGAAGCGCATGTCCACAAAGTCGCGAAGATGCAGAGAAGCTTTGCCGCAATCCTTTGGAGGCAGTAATGGCGCCTCTTCTCCAGCCAGAGATGGCACGCTTTCTTCTTGATCTACTGAATGATTAGCAACTGATCTCCCAAACATCATATCGGCCAAACTTCGGTCAGGCGTCACTTACTACCCTTCTCAAGTATCATTATGCGTAGTATGACGTCGCATACCAGCATAAAAACTGGAAACGCAAAGGCCCCGTGTACACCAAAGTGATCGAAACTGTATTCTTATGAGCAAGTCTCCCCAGTGGTCATCACTTAAAGTGCGAAGCTTACAGAAAGCCCCCTATGACAGGACCCGAAATCATTCCCCAAGTGTATGAAGTGGATACGAATGCCATATATTCCCCTCTCTTTTCAGGGGGAGCAGTGTCTGCAACGATCGCGAAACTCAAGACACCCACCACGGCCCCCGACAGACCCTGGCACACTCGAGCAATAATTAGAAGCGCTGGTGAATGTCCGAATAGAAAGACCGAGGTTGATACTGCGATTGCGATATATCCGAAGATCAAGGGGGATTTGCGGGATTGAATGCGATCGCTTATGAGGCCGACAAGTGCTATACGTAATTAGCTGACAATTACTCTTAAACTGAATCTCCTGGATACTTACGGGATGCGACAAGTAGGGCTGCTCCGTATGCTGCGAGCAATATTGATGTCCATTGTTGAACTGTGTAGCTGATTAGTATCCTGGAAAACTTCTGCGGTTGTGTGCGTAGATCCTCGTACTTCCATCGCTCGATGTGATGTTGTTCATGAGTAGGTAGGGCAGGATAGGAATGACCTAGGAAACATTTTATCAGTGTCAAGAACTATGCTGGCTTTGAATCAAGAGGTTGTACCATGCTGTAAACAAAGTTATCTGTGAATGTTGAAAGGCACATTGCCACTAAGACAAATCCGCCCGACGCTCGCAGCTCGCGAAAGCGCCCCATGCTGAACTTAGGAAAATAACCGGACGAGATGAGATAGGTTAGCCAAAAATACGTCGCAACTGAGGAAAGAGCTCCGCACGCGATGTGGATTCTCTAAAGATTAAGGAGTAGTGGTGATGAGCGAGACTAGGGAATACAATATGAACGATCCACAAGGTGACATCGATAGAGACGCAGGGGGGGCGGATGCAGACTCTAATAGTTGTCTTGACTTCTTTTCAGCTCATACATACTGGTCAGCCGCACCGTAATAAGGGGTTGGCTGGGGACAATAAAGTTTATAAGCAGGTGATTATTAAAAGACAGCCGTCTTGATTTGCAGACAAAGAGCCTAACTAGAACGGGTGTATTCTCTAAGCCGTTGTGTTGAATACATAGAATGTCTCATGAGCGCCCCTGATACGTTCAACAAAAGTCACTCCGGTCTTGGATGAAAGAGACACCAATTCGTTTTCCTCCCACTGGCGCATCTTCATGGAAATGTTGTTCTTCTCCAAGATAGTTTGATCCTCGTTATTCACGGCCTCCAGATCAAACTTGACGTATTTGATGTTACCTTCCAAATCACCTCGATGGTTCGATTCTCGGTACACGATATGAGGGAACATTGTGCTTTGAATCTCTGTGACACCCTGAGGCTGATGAAATGCGATGTCCTTTTTCTTGTGGAGGAGAGAGCCGTCGTAGATTGAAACATAGGCTTGTCCGGTTCCCGGACGTAAAACCTTGGAGACCTGATTGAGGAATGTTTCTGGCTGACCATACTCAGACAAATGACTGATGGATCCGATGGAGAATATCAGAAGATCAACCTTGGGATGCACTCTCTCTCGCATCACGGCCTCTAGATCAAGAGCGGAGCCATTAATCCAACTAACATGCCCTTTCAGAGGCCCTGTAGTGATCTTTTCAGCCTTGTCTAGCATATGCTGCGCATTGTCAACACCTAGGACTTCGGTGTTGGAAAAATCGGCATTGACCTCGGTGGTGTTACGTTCAAGACCATGGAGAACACGTCCCGTACCCGTTCCGACATCCATAACGACAAAAGGGTCATCAGGGGTAGACGGTCGCAAAGCTTTCAAATCCTGGTAGGTCTTCCAGTAGAAGGAGGCATCATCGACGGATTGCGAGCTCGGCGCAACGATGTCGTAGTAGTCGACCAAATAGGGCGAACTATAGAGATCGTTGGGTCGCTCTTGGGTAGAGACAGTCATGTTTGAGGGTATTGAATTGTATGAAGCAAAGTTGCAGAATTCGAGATTCGAGACAAGAAACAGAAATAATAAATGGAGAATAGCAACAAAATCGCAGTCTAGGAAGCCGAACACACACCCCGCGCAGTGACACAGAATTCTTCACCACTCCTCCGTATCTTCACCAAGAAATACGGAGTACTCCGCAAGCCTCTTGGCATTAGCTTCATGGCGAGCGCAATCTATCACACGAGATAGTTACTCTTTTTGTGGCTTGACGTAGCTTTTGTGATGATGCATGTTGAAGAGGCTGGCTGAAAAGGGGCGATCAGCCAGAGTGGGGGGCATTGCATGAAAGTGTGATGAACCCCACAGATTGAAAACCCAGCTGGGCACAACTCGACGCATGCACCTCAATTTGACAGCTCATCGACTGCATTTTGGGGTACATGAGCATTACTAAGGCGTCACATGCACTCATAGAACGCCAATTTAACTTTGATAAACATTTTACATTATACTTGGACACGGAGTACTCCGTATACTACCATTCGGGAAGAGGGACTCAAGAGAGAAGTCTCTATGTATCTCATGCTTCACATTGGCGCTTCACAACGCCTCCACTGTTATTCACTAGCTGAGTTACCCCGTACTGCATGCTGTACGATAGTAAATTTATGATTTCAGGAAAGAGAACCACAGCCCAGCCACGATCACGGGCACGATCACAGCCAGCCACGGCTTGAGCATGCCGGTCAGCATTGCCGCATCGGCCTCTTCTGCTCCCTGGTTGAACTCATCCGTGTTGTTGACCTTGGGATATGGCTTACTCGGCACAGGCACGCCGAGAAACGCGCATAGTGGTTCCCACCCATCACCGAGCCGGAGCTCCAGGAACCTGTCTGGGTCGACCCCATTCCGGACCCGGTCATTGTGTTGGAGATAGCGATCCATGGTCTCAGGGCTGTGGTAGTCGTTGTTGCAGATGACCTTGTAAGCCGTTTTGACCATGCGCATCTCGGGTCCAAGTCGCTTCCTGTCGAAATACTGGAGAACTTTCAATAGTGGCTTTTCCAGCCAGGGAATGATGGTACCATGGATTGATTTGAACCAAGAATCGGCGGATCGTGTGGTGAGGATTATTTTCGCGTCGGGATACAGCTTGTGAAAGTCGTCCCAGAAAAGGCAGGCCGGTATATCCAACAGCGCATCGTACGGGCCTCGCAGTTTGTCAAAATCCTTCCGATTGTACGGACGATTTCCGCCGAAGAAGCGGCAGTTCATAGCCTCCGTCCATTGATTATACATGCGACTGGGATCGTCGATGGGCTCGCACATGTGCCATGGAGTATATCCTAGTTCCTTCAATGCCAGGTACAGAGCTGGAACGTTCAGTGACAGTCTCAGGAAGGGAAACATGGGCGACAAGCTTACATGCTGTGCCAGTGCGCGAAAGTCCCACGACCACCAGCCGTAAAGGGGTTTCGGGCTCATATGGTGGCTCCTTATCGATCAAGCGGCCCATAGTCACGATGTCAGAATCCGACGGGGAGGAATTTGGGGAAAGAATGAGTTGGTAAAATCATAAACGAACATATGAGTTATAAAACTTTTCGTGAAAGGAGGAATAATTGGGGGGCATCGTCCATACACATCAATAATTCCCTGTAGTAAACCACCCCAAAGACCCACCGATACGGCGACCAATCGATCGGAAACTATTTCGTCGACGGTCTGCAGGAGGGCGAGCTGAGCTGCGGTCGGTGCTCAATATGGCGATCGATGGAGTCAAAGTTTGCAGAAGATGACAGATACATCAGTTAGTATGTGCAGTGTGACCTAAGGTACATGAGGCATGAGGCACTCAACAAGGTCGTCACATTTATAACCACGCCGTGTTGAAGTCAGTCCTGTTTGTCCTGAATACTTATTTGCCTCCACCCTATGTGAATTGGTATAGCGACAATGCAACTTCTGGAATGGGTAGTGGCTCTCACTGGTCTGGTATGGCACACTCAAGGCTCTTTCACTCCTTCACTCGAGCAATCAACTAACTTCGTCCAGTGGATACTCTCTCATCTCTGCCTCGCCATATACAATGTGCTTTTCCATCCTCTACGAAATTACCCCGGACCGAAGCTGGACGCCGCTACCGGGCTGGTTTATGTTTACCACATGGTGAGAGGAAACAGTTGCAAATACCTCGCCGGCCTCCATGAAAAATACGGAGAAGTTGTTCGAGCTGGTCCCAACGAGATTTCATACATGACCGTGTCGGCCAACAAGACAATCTTCGGGAACAAAACTACCGAGAAAATGTCCTTTGAGAAAAACCCCGCCGTGTACATTCAGGGCGAAGGCACAGCGCAGAATATTCTCTTCGCCAGCACTGGCGAACATCCGCGTTTCAAGAAGCTCATGTCCCCAGCATTCTCCGAGCAGGCAATCAAAGAGCAGGAGCCGACGATTCAACAATATACTAGTATGATGATTGACGCATTAAGAAACAATCGATCGGGAGATGCATGCTATCCCGATGCAAATGGAATCGCAAACATCGGAGCTTGGTGCAATTTCCTCATTTTCGATATTCTGAGCTGCCTCTCCTTCGGCAAACCCATCGGCTGTCTCCAGATGGCTGATTACCACGAGTGGGCCAATGTGATCTTTGGTGCCATGAAGCATTCCCATTTCTTGCAGTGCGCCCACCGACTCAAACCCTACCACCGGCTCCTCGAAAGATTGATCCCTGGAGATATCAGTGGCCCTTACGAGACGCACATGCAAAACGTGCGAAAGAATCTACGCGAACGCGAGACAATGGAAAACCTTGCCCGGGCAGACTTTGCGTCTTTTATCCCCAAAGGAATGTCCGAAGACGAATTGGTCGACAATGTGAACATTCTTGCTACCGCTGGTAGCGAAACGACGGCCACCACGCTCTCTTCACTTTTCTACTATCTGACACATAACCCTGACAGTTACCAGAAACTGGTCGACGAAGTCCGATCGACTTTTTCGAGTGAGGAGGAAATCACTTTCAATGCCGTGGCTAGCCTGAAATACCTAAAGGCCGTCATCCAGGAAACTTTCCGAATTCACCCTTCAGTTCCAGTCGGGTTACACCGTATTACCCCTAAAGCTGGGAGCTATATTGATGGGAAATGGGTACCTGGTGGGGTAAGTACCAGTCATGATCCCCGATGCAGCATGCAGCTGATACATGCACAGACTTGGGTGTCAGTTGCCCTCCTCGCAGCTTACAGATCACCGAGGTACTGGAAGCAGCCGGAGGATTTCCTTCCAGAGCGGTGGCTGGAGGACCCAGAATTTGCTTCGGACAATCGCCAGATCTGGGCACCTTTCTCCATTGGCCCAAGAAAATGCATTGGAATCAAGTAAGTCCCCTGGAGCTGGCCAGATTGGGAATTATTTGCTGATCAAATTTTCACACAGCTTGGCGTACCTGAATATGCGATTGATCGTGGCACGACTGCTGTGGAACTTTGACTTTGATCCGCAACCCGATAATGTCGATCCGCACGAGCTGAAGGAATATGGGGTCTGGCAGGGTCAGGTTCCACTGAATTTGAAGATCCGCGATGCAAGGGCGTAACTGAGTGGGGTGTAGATAAGCCACGACGAAAACGAGTTGATTTGGAGACTGTGCTTGGTATGCAGAAGAATGATGTATCACAGTATGGAGTAACTTAGACTCAGCCAGTTTGGGCTGTTGTATGTATTGATTGTGCATGTGGAGGTACCGTGCAGGATGCAGCTGCATGACGACTGAGGGTCTAGATCTCAATAAGCAAAAATACCTAGGTAACCTCCAGGGCTGAAGAATATGGGAGCTGAGTATCTCAGCGTGGCGCTATTGATTTAGCCTTTCTATACAATAATGGTAATTGGAATACCTGCATGGTACATATCTGCGGACTTGTCACATTTTTCAGGGTCACTAAGGCAAGCGAAGCGCAAGCCATAAAAAAACTGGCAGGTCCGAGAGCCCAAAGAGTTCATCAACAGACAAATTCAGTCATAGAACGAAAACTTATTCATACCTACCCAATTTCAACATTAACAATGGCCCTCAAGCTCATCACCATTTTCGGTGCCACCGGGAACCAGGGAGGTTCGGTGGCACGGTCATTGCTGAAGAATCCAGCATTTCACGTCAGGGGAATCACTCGCAATCCCGAGTCAGACGCAAGCAAAGCTCTTATCTCCCAAGGTGCTGAAATGGTCCAGGCGAATGGCCTTAATCCCGACGAGATGAAGGCGGCCTTTCGGGGGTCCTGGGGCGTCTTTCTGAACATCAACTCAGATGACAAGGTTCGTCTTTAACTTGCATGGCCTGATAAAAATATACTAAATATAGCTCTACTGAAGGCGTTCACTAACCCAGAGAACCCAAGTGAGTTTGACATGGGTAAAATTATCGTGGATGCTGCGGCGTCCGCGGGAGTGCAACATTTCGTGTTTAGCTCTGGTCCTCCATGCTCAGAGATGACAAGTGGCAAAGTGTCAATGAAAGCAATGGACAGTTAGTTCCGAATCCTTCTTTTTCCCTACTAAAATTTTGCTAATACTCTTCTAGTGAAGTACAAGACCGAGCAGTACCTCCGAAGTCTCGGGGCTTTCAAGTCGGTGCTTCCACTTGGTCCAGGGTGGTTTTTGGAAAACTTCCTTAGCAAAGAGGTGGCGCCTGTGTTTGGAGGATTTCCTTATTTCCCAAATGACGCAGGACTTCTGGTTTTCTCTACGCCCTACTGGGGTGGGAAGGAAGACGTGCCCTGGCTGAGTATCTCGGACGATTTTGGAGACATTGTGCAGGGTGCCTTGCTGGATCCAGAAACCTGGAATGGCCATTTCATCCATGGACTCAGTGACATACGCAGCTTCAAAGAGCTTACTGAGGACTTCCAAGAAGTTACCTCGCGCAGGGCAACTTGGTCCCCTATCCAGCCTTCCTGGGAGGAATTCCAGACACATGGGATTCAAGAACTGGAAGATGTGAAGCTCATGTTTGGCTTTACGCAGATAACTGGCGGCAAATACTTCGGTACTACTACGGAATCCCACACCGCTAGTAAATTGAAGAAGGCAACAGCTGTGGCGTTGGGGTATCCGGAGGACAAACACGGTCTGGTGACCGTAAAGGAATGGTTCGCAGCTCGATTCGGAAATGCCACTTGGTGCAAGGACAACGGAATCACTGAGTAAGATTAGGGTACGGAGTACTAGAATCACTGCGGAGTCCTCGGCTTGAATAATTTACAATATTTTGCCGGATTTACGTTGCTTAGTTCTCTGTATACCCTCCTACGGTAGCTTATATTCAGTAACCCAAGGACCTTTACTACGGGGATACTTTCCGGGGAATAGCTGACGAGAAGTAGCCATATGCAGGAAAGAGTAATCAACAGTAGAGAGAGCTATACAACATAGAATTGTCGAGCTGCCTAGAGGCTGTACGCGCGATGATCAGCGCAATACGAAGGGATGGTCCCGTAACACCTCAGTTCACAGCTCCACAGGGTGTAATAATACATATCAGTAGGCGTATTGATCGAATTCAAATATCTACAACAGGAGAGCTGAGGTGGTTTACGCACCCAGCAAAGTCAATTAATAGGCTTGCATGGCGCATGCAGGTGGAAAAAAGATCACATCACCCGCGAAACGTGACGGGAAATATAGCGCGCGGAGAAGCTGGGTGACCCGCATGGAGGATTTGTCCCTACGCTTACCGACGTATTAGTTGCCTTCATTTTTATTAGGGCTTTGTACGGAGTACGGAGTACAGCAATGAACGTGTGGAATTGCATCTATCAAGTCCCTGCAAGTGGGTATAAGTATATCGCGCATGAAGACCGACTGCTGGCATTTTCCGAGACCTTACGCCAATAAGATGCAGTACCTAGATAGTTTCAATTTTGTGGGACTCAGACTCACCATTTTCCATTTTGGAGAGCAATGGCTGGCTGAGCTGATAATGCAGGCATTTCAGTTTACGTACTGCAGCCATTGACAAACTTTAGCTGATTTTACGGAGCTCAGCTACTCCATGCAGTGCTGCCTGGGTCCTGATGCAGAATATTAAAAAAAGGAACATATAAACATATAAAATTCAAGGATTTTGGCGCATCACGTCTTCTATTATCGAAGTCACACCATATCCTTAATCTTTTATACCAATGCCTTCTGAAGTTCTATCTTATCCGGAAGAATACGACCTGGTAGTACACCAGGGCCGTGGTCTTGGTCAGCTCTTCGAGACCAAAGCGAGGCAATCACTCGATTCTGTGGCGGTGATTGACGGCGAAATTACGCTCACCTACGAAGAATTGCACCTCCAAGCTCTGCAAATCTCCCAGGAACTATTCAAAGACAACCTGCAGATTGAAGAGCCTGTCGGGATACTTGTGCAGCATGGCTGGGCAGATGTTGTGGCTCAGATGGCAATCATCTACGCTGGAGGAAGTTGCGCACCGATGGACCCAGCATTACCAGACGTGCAAATCGAGGGTCGCCTAGAGAAACTTGGAGCCCGTTACATATTGGTTGACCGGGCGAACATGAGCCGAGGGATTCATTTTCAGCAAATCATTTTGGACGATTATCCAATTTGGACACCCCAAGATGCCTGGGAAGCAGAAAAAGACCTCCCGGTCATCACCTCACTCGAACATCGAACACATTTGATTCACACATCGGGCACAACAAGCGAGCCAAAGGCGGTCCAGATTGCTGCTCGCTCAATCTTACAAGTTGTATATCATGCACCATTTGAGCCCATCGATTCTACGGATACTGTTGCTCATGTGAATAACACGAGTTTCGATGTGTCGCTGTTTGACATATGGGTGCCTCTCTTGCGTGGAGCCCGGATTGCTGTCTTGAGCAAGGTCATCTTACTGGACCTTCCAGCAATGGCAGCGGCAATCAAGGAGAATGATATTACAATCATGGCCACGACAACCGCCCTCTTGAACCTCGCGGCCTCGACCTTTCCGCGTGCGTTTTCACAGCTGAAGATATGTTTCATTGGAGGTGAAGCTGCGAACGTGACTGCTATTGAGAAGATCATGCAGCAAGGTCCGCCGCAAAACCTAATCAATGCGTACGGGCCAACAGAATGCTGCATCTTTTGCCTCGCCCATAAAGTCACACCGGAGGACGTTCAAAGTGGCAGTGTCAGTATCGGTAAGCCAATTGGCAAAACTATTGCTCGCATCTGTGATGAAACTGGAGCACCAGTTTCGGATGGAGAGGAAGGCGAACTATGGATTGGCGGAGCTGGCGTGTCTCCTGGATACGTTAATCGACCCGAAAAGGATCAGTCAGCTTTTGTGTACTTGCCGAACGAGAAGAAAGCCCAAAGATTCTATCGCACGGGAGACAGAGTCAAGAGGCGCCCTGACGGGGAGATCGATTATGTGGGACGACAGGACCATCAAGTCAAGGTCCGCGGGTATCGCATTGAGCTCGAAGCTGTCGAGACCGCAATGCTCCAAACTGGACAGTTCTCCGAGGCCGTGGCATTGAAGGTAGAAGCAGGTGGTGATGCAGGCTCTATCCTTGTTGCATTTGCTGTGGCAACCTCAACTAAGCCTCGTGCAATGGTCAGTGCCATTGATTCACTGAAGAATACGCTTCCTGACTACATGGTCCCGCAAATTGAGTTAATGTCGAAAATGCCCCTCAACAGTCACGCAAAGATTGACCGCAAATATCTTGTCAATTTGTACCGTGAGCGGTGGGCAAGTTCCAACACTCTTTCGACCAAGCAAATCAACACTGGAAGTACCCTGCAGCAACTGGCAAGCCTTTGGGTCAATATACTTGGGCTCTCATATCTGCCACAAGATCCCGACACCGATTTCTTCAAACTTGGGGCGACATCCCTCCAAGCATCGCTTCTCATCAGCCAAATTCGAAAGAATCTGGGAGCAGATGTCTCACTTCTCACACTCTACGACCACTCCAACCTCGGCGATCTGGCGTCGACTATTGAAAAGTCGCAAGACCGCATCGCCGACACTGTTCGCCATGAGGAGAATACCTGGATCGAAGACACCCATATCGCGGATGACCTTGCTCCCCCATCAGGACCGGCCATTGACTGGCGCCGGGATACAGAAGGTCGTGTGTTTTTCACAGGAGGCACTGGCTTTGTGGGTGCGTTTCTTCTGGCCGACCTCCTTCGCACTCACGAGGTTCATCAAGTGGGATGCTTGGTGCGTGCTGCAAATCCGACGATAGGTCTCGAGCGTATCAAACGAGCAATGGGAAAATACGGCCAGTGGGAGGAACGCTTCGTTGATAAATTGCTGGTCCTCTGTGGGATATTGGAAGATGTTTACCTGGGTCTCGGCTATGAGCGTTTCCACGAAATTGCGAGCTGGTCGAGTGTTATTTTCCACCTGGGCGCCCGAGTCAACTACACTCAGCCATACTCTCTTCATCGCCCTGCCAACGTCATTGGTACGAGAAATATTCTGCGCCTCGCATGTGCGGGGGGTCGCACCAAAGCAGTCCACTATGTCTCCAGCATCTCCTGCTTTGGCCCAACTGGATTCGTGACGGGAACTAAATTGATCACTGAGGATGAGCCCCTTCTCAAGCATGTCAAGGCACTCGCCTATGACCACGGGTACGCCCAATCTCAATGGGTCGCCGAAACCTTGCTGAGGCGTGTGATGGACCGCAATTTCCCCGTTGCCATCTACCGCCCCGGTTTCATCACTGGTCACAGTAAAACTGGAGCCTGCAATCCGGATGACTTTTTCAGTCGCCTGATTCATTCTTGTGCTGAAATGGGGTGTTACCCTCTGCTCCCAAATCAAAGGAAGGAATTTGTTCCGGTTGACTATGTCAATGCTACGATTCTACACATCGCCTCGTCCGCATCGTCTTCACTGGGTCACGCCTACCATATCGTTCCGCCTAGTCGCAACTCGTCGATCGACATGAATGAGACAATGGACCTCGTTGGATCTGCATCTGGAACTACCATCAAAGGGATTCCTTATCAAGAATGGATAGACATCCTAGCTGAGAAATCCCCCGCCAGACTGCAGCCGCTTCAGCCCATGCTCGCTGAAAAAGCGCACGAGGGGTTGACCAGGTGGGAACTATACGAGAATATGCCCGTGTATGACACCACAAACACAGATCGTATGTTGGATACTTTAGAAGGCGGTCTTGAGTTTCCGGTCCTCGATCGAGGACTCATGGACAAGTATGTGTCATACCTCTCGGGCTTTTAGTTAGGTATAATAGATTATAATTGCCATACTTCCCTCAAGCTTCCTGATAAATCTATACCAGAAAAATCCATTATGCATTTCGATCTATAACTCGTATTCCCCGCTTGATTGGAAGGCGGCGGGCTTTGGAGTTTCATAAAGCGATCGGTCCCAATTTTCTCTGCCATTGTACATTCATCGAGGGATCCTTTGGGGCTTAGTAGAGTCTTCGGATCAAGGAGCTCTGCACCTTTCTTGGGGATCTCCTTGGACACTGTATCATTAGACCGAGTCTGATATCCTTGCTTGCAGGAAATGTATTGTAGCAATATCGCCCACAAAGCCTCGGATCTTCTGGATCCTGTCCACTCTGTTGTTTTTCCCCCGGGAGTCGGTAGTAACAAAAACATATCTCACGATACTCCGATAGGGGGAATCGAACCCCCGGCTGCCGTGTGAGAGACGGCGATGTTAGCCACTACACCATATCGGATCTGGTACAACGATGTATGCTGTTAGGTTTGCCTTGAACCTTTTGGTTTAGCGCTTTTTTTACATCAGCTCCTTGCGTGGTTCTCTCTGCGCTCCCTTGTATGTCCGTCGTTTGTTACACTCATCTGTCCCCCAAGGCTGATTTCATGAGCCATTTTTGCTATTGATTCGGACTACCTCAGGATGCATCTAGGCAGGTTCTTACAACAATGTATGATAACTGGGAAGTACTACCATATCTAGTCTGGAAGATAACCAAGGTTTGGATTTCTAGCTTGATCTGGTTAAGCTTTGAAGAAGCCGAGTCTAGATCAGATCAGTAAGCCGAAGACAAAGAAGCTGATCATCTGCCCAGATACATCTCCGTCACAGATAGCATTTCCCGCTTCCGGCGTTCCCGAAGTATGAATGTAAAACCCTTTCTATTTCCTGTTGCTGTGACTACCTAAGTGTGTAAGACCGGTCTAGCCAGAATATTTCCACCCCGCATTTGTCTTTCTAGGCTGGGGGGGCTCGTGAACTCCACTATAATTTCCTGGGTGTTATCTCATGATTCCATTATTTTCTCCATATTATTTTCAGCTGAGCATGGTGTTTATTTTCAATTACCGCCACTCGTGACATCATGAGGAAGTTAAGGCGGTGATATCCTCTCCTTATTAAATCCTTTGAATATTGTATAAAAAACCATCATGAACGGGTTTGAATGAATTATGAAACGTTGCGGCTACCCAATTTCAGCCTGAGTTTACCAACTGATACAGCGCTATTCGAAAAGTTATGGCTCAAAGCGCTACCACAATGACCCCGCTAACTCCCGGCGTTGTGCTTGGCCATCCCGATGTTCAAGGGAAATGGCCTAGGGACCCTGAACAACTTGCTGTTAACGGCATTGACAGCGGTGTATTCATCAATGAACTAGCGAATATTGAACTTTTGCCGAGGAGTCTCAAATCATTGAGTGACGGGGAGAAGAAGTCTTTTGGTCAAAACCCCGAGAATCTACATTGGAAAGCCCATGAACAAGGGCCGTCTCCCATCCGCGAAGGAACATATCGTGGGACCAAGCTAGCGCTCACCAAAGCTTATGATCTTATAGAGCAGCGGTACCTTCACCTTATTTATTTTGATTCTCGGATATCGCTAATACGCTCAACAGCTTCATGTCCTTTATGGATGTCGCCAATTTTGAACCATTAGTTCCATCGCCTCTGTCCAGAGAAGAGAAACAGAAGTTCTTTGCTTTTACAAATGGCTCAGACGGTTATCCACCCCATCTAAACCTTGCTGGTAATCTACCAGCAGCAGAGATGGAGAAAAACAAGACGCAGAGATCAACACTCCAGCCATCTGATATATTTAACAAGATGCGTCTGCTTCAACTAAGCTCTCTCTTACCTAGTGTTGTGCCTAATAAATACATTAGAGAAGCTGCCAAGGCAGCAGCATGGGCTTGGTTTGGCTCTATGGGCACACCCGATGCAGGGACCAAACTCGAAGATGTGGAGTCATATAACAGGAAAGCTCGCGGGTCTACACACCGTGAAGATATCTTTGATCTCCCCAACGTGGGTGATTTGGAGGATTGGTACAGCGATAACCGGTTCTGCCAGCAGCAGTTTACAGGGGCAAATCCTACAACTATTGAGCTTGCCTCGGATAGTTGGATACATCACTTCATTCAAGCCGCAAATGCACCAGAGGATTCAGAAGTTAAGCAGTTCATCACTGATCTCAAGGACAATTGTCGTGAGTCATTATACATGCAGGATTACAGCTACTTTCGCGAGGCTGTTGGGTTGGATCCGAGTGCTGTCATCAAGAGTGCGTTTGATGAGCCAGACGAGAAAGCCAAGGGCAGTAAGAGTTATCGTTATGGCTGCGCATCGGTCTGTCTTTTTTATCTCAATGACAAAGGCCAACTGTACCCACTAGCTATTGTTATTGACTGGCGGGAACCGCGGACAGATCTGTGACGATCTACAACCGTGAACTCATGAAACGGAAGAATCTCCAATCAGGAAGCGAGAAGAATTGGCAAAAGGAGAAAGTAAACGATGAAGCCCATGACTGGCCTTGGAGATATGGTGAACTCCCCTACCGTTCAAGGCCCCTTCTTCGTGCGCTGACTTATCCGTTTCAATCTAGCGAAAACCTGCGTACAATGCAGCGACTGGCTTCGACATGAAGTAACTGTGCACCTCACCAATACGCACCTAGTCGAAGAGGCCACAATAGTCGCGGCTAACAGGCAACTCGACCCGAACCACCCCGTGATGAGGTTACTCTACCCACACTGGCAGAAGACCCTGGCGATCAATGCGGCAGCCCGAAACACTCTAGTTCCCCATATAATTGTCGAGTTAATTGGGCTCCAACAAACAGAGGCATATAGGTTTATCCGGCACGCATATAAGACATTCGATTTTAAGCAACGCTACGTGCCGGCAGATCTCAACCAACGTGGGTTCCCTCCGGAGCAACTCGACAGTCCGAAGTTTCACAACTACGCCTATGCCAGATGTATCAACAGCATGTGGCACAAGATTAGGACCTACGTCCAAGAGATGCTGAATTTCGACTACCCACAGCCAGATGCCGATCAAAAGGTCCTTCATGACGAACGCATTCAGGCCTGGTCAGCAGAGATGCGAAGTCCCAGCGGTGCAGATCTTCCATCCTTCCCAACCATCAGCACGCTCGCGGAGCTAGTTGACTGTGTGACAATGTGCATACACATTGCTTCCCCTCAACACACGGCGGTCAACTATCTACAAAATTACTACCAGTCGTTCGTCGTCAATAAACCTCCCTGTCTCTACACCGAGCTTCCCTCATCTCTGAATGACCTGCTCAGCTACACCGAAAAACACCTTGTTGAGGCGCTACCTATGAACCATACTCGGGATTGGCTTCTTGCGTCTCATACACCATACCTACTTAGCTACAAACCCGGCAATAAAGAAAGCCTGATTGTCTACGCTGCTTCGAAGTTCCGGGTATATCACAACAAGGCATCAGAGGAGGACCAGGTCATTGCAAAAGCCACCGGAAAATTTTACACGGCACTTGCTGATAGCGAAGAGGAGTTTAAGGGATATGGGCAAGCCACGGATGATTGGGGGACCATACCGTATGAGGTGCTGAGCCCAGAGTGGAATGCAGTCTCGATTTTGATTTAGGTACCATGGTATGGATGGTATGGCTACGGTGTTGTTGCACTACCCTATACGCCAATCATATTAAACCCAAGAGTCACAGATAAGTACGACGTGATAGCACCTATCAAAAGCGATTTTTATTAATTTAGTTGCCATCCCACGTTGGGCGTAATTTAAATTCCAATCAGATAAATATATGGAAAGTGGATGCCGGGACTATCCAATGATGACCGCTTGCTTGCTAGTAATGCTAAAAAAAGAAGCGGCTTATGGTACGAAATCGCCAATCATTCTTCTAGCTGCACTTCGTTGGCACTGTTCATGCACTATTTTGCTAAAATAAGACATAAAAGCCCAAAAAAAGCCGTTCGTAGAGTTATAGAGGTAAAAGGTAGTGGTGGAAAGGCGTATTCTTATGTACAATCGTGTCCCCACTAGACCTCGGCAGAACCCAATGGGTTAAACCTATGGAACCTAATAATAACCGACGGTTGGTATAGTACTTGTTGGAGATCACGTGACCTCTATGCTTGCTCCCCCACACATTAGCTAGTCCCTCACCTAGATAGTTTCTCTCTTCTTCACGCATCTATCTATTTTTCCAGAGCATCGTGCATTCCATAGTAGTATCTCTCTTCTACCCATTTTAGGTCCGTCCCTCTCTTATATCGCAAGTGTACTATTCGGGTCAATACATGACTTGACAAGCAACTAAATGTTTCCCAACCCCATCGAGTTGCCTCGCAGATCCCTCCACAGCGTTCTAAATGCCGGCCACGAGATCGACACGTAAATAAGACTATTCCAGAATCCCTGCAAAGGAAGCACAAAACTTGACGCATAGTTGAGCCCGAACGAGAAGTCATTGGGGCGAGCAAACGCGTATACTCGGTTGGCCGTGGAGGGAACCTGTACCAGATTAGACTTGGACGCTGCATTGAATTGAATTGAGTTAAGAATGTAACCACCTACCCACGTCACAAGCAGCGCGATGAAGAACAGCATCGCGTATTTCGTATATGCCCACGCCGCAGAGCTCGCCTCTGTCGCCTTCCGCCGCTGCGCATACGAGTCCCCGCCTTCGTGCCGCGCCGATTTGGGAGACCCCTCTGTGCGGAGCGGGGTTGGGTCTGATTGGGGCCGACTCAGACCCTGAGTAGGAGCGGAGCTTTCCCCTGGGCCATGCAGCATGCTGAAGGGATCGACCGGGCCGCCCTCGATCGAGACGGAGTATGGGCTAAACGAGGAGACTGTGAAGCTGCGGGTGGGGAAATCACTGGCTGACACGGGCCGGTGCACTGGCGCGAGGCAGGCAAATTCGCTGGTGACATGGATACCCGAGCGTATGACGAGGGGGGCATCGGGCTGCGTGTCAGAGCCGAGGGACTCAATACCGCTGAGGTTACGTAGCTCACGGTGTTTCTGGTAGATGACGGATCCTGCGCGCAGGTAGATGGAGAAAGTGAGGAAGATGACGAACCACACAGGGCCGTAGAAGACGGCGATGCGGAGGTAGTCCCATGGCAAGGCGACCCAGCACCAAAGCTATACAACGATATTAGAAATTTCATAAGCTTAAGGAAAAGGTACATGGGTCTATGGGTGGTCTTACAATTGCGGAGCCGTAGACCCGGCCTCTGCCATGAGTGTGGATGAAGAAGTATATGAAGGATGGAATGAAGGGGAGGCCGTAGCAGCACACGACATACACCCACTCGATTTGGCGCAGTTGCTCTGAGCCATACTTGTGAAAGAAGGTTAGATAGACATTGCACGCCATGGCAAAGGTCCACAATGCGTCAGCGGGCATGAACCTATCTGCCATTAGATACGCACTGGACTATCGACAGCCAATGAATCATGCAAAAGGGTGGAAATCTCACCACTGAATTAAAAAGGCCTGGAGCTGGCATAAGGGGCTACCAGCCCCAGCCTGGATCCCCGATTGTGAAATCATGGTCGCTATATTAGCCATCATATTGCCCCAGGATGCATAGAAAACGAGACGGTTGATCGGTTTCCGAAATGAGCGAGAGCTGATAAAACTAGCTATGATAACAAAGGTGCCAACCAGCGAGATGGCAGAGCAGACGCGCTCCGTGACTGAGATAGCGACGAGCTGTCGCTGCGAGGGTGTGAGAGCCATGATGTCATGATCTAGATGGCGGCGGGCGTGGTGAGAGATATTTCTAGCACTATAGGGTTCGGTCAAGATCACATGCCCACCAATTCTATATAGAAGGAGGGGAGGAGGAAGGTATGCAGCTGTTTTTACACAGTACAAGCGGCAAAGTCAGCCCCAGATAATGCTCGCGTGGTTTCTTCCTGGGGGAGCACACGGGGACCCGGGAGGCAGTTAGTAATACAGCACAAGCTCGAGAGCTCGGTGGCGCGGTGATAGTAACAAGGACCCATGGAAGCGGCCGGTTCACATAACTCTGTGGCGACTGCGGATCCATGGTAGGTAAGATGCCAAAGTATCGTGACACAGCCAGACAAGCCAAGCCAGCACTAGAGCTGTTGCCAATAACGAATACTCGTCGACGTTAGTAATATTCGTTATCCGTGTTCGCAGTTGTAAACACCACGAATAATATTGGCAAGATTTATTCGTGAATTGACATCGTGCGACTAATTATTTGCTGCATAAGCTGCGAATACGCACACGCTTCTCGCCCCTGCATGACAAGATCCTGGAGATTTTGGACCGTCTAGCATATCAGGGCGGTCCGATATCGTCGTGCCTCGCTATTTACTTCAACAAAATGGAGGTATTTTAGTACAAACATTAACTGGCGTAGTACAGATACTGTCACTAAGTATCTTCCCACCGCATTTTCACCCCACCCCTATCAGATATATATCTCTACATTTTACTATATAGCACCACCGATTTTGCAGCTATTTTAATTTTGAAAAATAGGTTTAATGAAGTAGAAGACTACGCAGAAATGAAATAATACGCGGGGAACTGTGTATTGGACTCTGGAGAGGAAAAGGAAGAGAGAGGAAGCTATTCTAGCTAACTACTGGAAGTCCTGGGTCCGGGCTGTCACGTGACAGATCACATGTTAATCACATGAGCGCATCAACATCTGTTGATAAGAAGCTTTTCATATAATGTCAACAAATGAGAGATCATCCTGTCTTTTACCGATGGAAATCCTCGGTCCGAATTGTATTGTTTTTGCTTACAAATCTGTCCATACAAATTGTCAAACCGGACAGCTATTCATTTTTTAGTTAGAGGGAGAATTCATACATTGTGATTTTACCCTATACGCTTGTATACCTGATTTCGATCATATAACTCTAGCTTCAGCTTACCAGCGTGAGACCGTTTGCCCGATGACCTGAAGGCTTCCATAGTCTTCGTAGAATAGCATTCCAATCATGTAAATTGAAGGTATCCCCACTATTTAGACCCCTCTGGCCGTACAGATGACTCCTTATTAACTATGGCCCTTGTAAACGCAATTTCAAATCCAAATAAAGAACAAATATCACACAATAAAAAAGACACTAAAATTGTAACCTGTTCATCTCGGTGCGTATGCTCTCCCGGTCGTCAGATACAATGTCCACGAGAAAACTGCCGCTCTCCAATTCAGGATCAGTTCCACACTGTATTGATATGTACTTCCAAACACACTGCAGTTCAGCCCCTTCCCAGCTAACCCAACCAAGAGAACGAAGAGAAAAGAAGCACACCACATCCGAGTAAGACGGGGAGGAAGAAGAAGCAAGACCTGGCGAGCTCTGGAGAGAACTAGTCAAACCAAGATCTATCCAATCAGTGCAAACCCCGTAATTGCTCGCTAAGCGAGGCAAACAAAGAAACAAGCAAAAAATGCAATTGACATGGAACCAGACTACCACCCTGCACGTTTCCGAAATCAGCTGGGGAAGCCAGTCATGACAATGGCATGGTCTTCCCAGCTACAACTTCGCTCCTTCCCACAGACTCTAGCCACTCAACAGTCGGTGTATCATTGTCGACTTGTCTAGCAGCAGTGACCGAGCGGGGTAGCACAGAAGCAAAAGCCATGAGTCTCCCAGCGGAGGTAGCATGAAGGTACCGTCTCATCTTGGAGAGTGTTGCACGGCCCACAAGAAGACTAACGACAACCAGGGAGGAGTTCAAGAGCAGAATTGCGAAAACCACAATTGCGGGCACGGCATAGCCAAGGTCGTAGCGTATGGTGGGACGGCGCGTCGAGACGGGCCGAAGCATTGTAGTTCGTGGGCCCGGACTCCCATTTGTCCCGACCACGGCGTTCGCTGCGTAATCTGTCCAAACCAGATTCAGGGCCTTGGTCATTGACTCCGCTGACTTTGACAGTTTACTCCACTGCTGTGCCAAGGCAAGGTTTCCTTCACCAGTGTAATCTGCCAGTCCCTGAGTGCTATATGCCATAGAAGCGATGGCGCCGAGCCCGGAGTCTGGAAACTCGACGCCCGGCAGATTCTGACGACTCTGTGTGGCAACGCCGCTTGACCGAGACAAAGACGTCATCCGAGGGAGAAAGAGGGATGGTTTCTGGACTGTCTTGAGCCGGTCACTGGGGTAATTCGCCGCGGCTTCGTGGGACACGAGACCCCATAGCGGAATCATCCAATACTCTCCTATGACCGAAAGATTCTCGACTCCCCACACGGGGTGGTCGGCCTCACTCTGGTAGTCCTTGTCCGTGATGTTCAGGACGCTTAGCCCTGTGAGATCATCAGTGGTATTGTAGCTGAATGTGACGGACTTGATGGTTGCTTCTATGGCCATTGCGCAGGAGTACATAGGCTTGGACCAGGATGAGCCGGCGGAGTGGAAGGGCCAGTCGTCTTCAACGCTGTCGGATCTCAATGACGCACCCAGTATGAGGGAACAGTATGTGGCGATGTTTCCAATCGTTCCGCGGCTAATGTCGAAGTCTCCACCTTCACAAAGATTCTCTAGATACTTGGTTTGTACATGTCAACCGGATGATAGGGCAAGGGTGAATAACGTACTGATCAAACGAGGAGCAGCCTCGAACGTCCCATCATCTGGCACTCCGCCACTGTTGTTTGCCGCATAGCACCCAAATTGGTTGGGAGCAATAGTCCCAGGATTGTGGAGATCGATGCTACAGCCATGGGCTGTTGTTTGCGAGAGCGGGAATTCTTGTTTCCCTTGCATAGAGGTTCTCCCGTGCAGGTGTAGAGGCTTCTCAGGATCGCTGCCTACGGTTACATTGCTGACGTTGAACTTGCCCATGGCGAAAACATTGGAAAACCAGGCTGCCTGATAGGCGCGCTTCCACAGTTGCGGATCTGCTTGCACCCTCGCCCGATCCCACTCAGGGTTAACCGTATTCAATTCGGAAAAGCCGCCTCGGTCTGTCACGGTCAAGGGACTTCTGCTATTTATTGAGCGCACATCGTTCTCTGGTATTGTATAGTCCAAGGTCAGGTTGGTATCAACACATCTTGAGACAGGTTGGATGAACAGAAGGTCCTCGGTCCAGGTACTCCCGTAAGTCGTCAACGGCGGTGCGCTGTGGTTTCGAAAGCCGACACCCCCATTCTTTGCGTCGACTACAAGACCCTCTATCACTTCATAGCTGTCATCCAAGATCAGAGTCGAAATCTGCCTATAAATTCCGATAGGATACGGTTCGTTGGACGAAGGATCCATTGGTAGAGAGCTGTTGCTTCGACTGGTTTGATTGCTGGTGGTAGCTATTTTTGTCCACGACCACGAACGCCATTGGATATCAAATATACTTGATACAGAGTTGCTGGAAGCTGGGATGCCGCTCGTGAAAAGATCCACTGTCTCCTGCGGTATACTTTTGTCGACAGAGCGATTATTAGAGGGTGTCACTCGCGTTAGATCCGGGCACGTAAAAGGTCTCGCGGGAGCCCCGCAGACGCGACTCCAGGGGACACTTTCATTCCTCGCTGGGGTGCCTATCCCAAATATGCCTCCGTCGGGAATATACTGGAACCGCTCTAATGTGGGAGACCCGGGGATAATCGCTTCGTATAGACCGAGCGGGGTGACAATGGCCGCAATGGAAAGGAGCATCGTAATAATAACGCTGGCATACCGAAAGAATAGCACACGAAATGGAATGCCACTCAAGGCTGCAGAGTCACTGCCCAGAATGGTTGGCCAGTAGGAGGAGTGGAGTATTCGACCGATAGACGACCACGCAATGGCGCTCGTAGTGACAGCATCGTTTTGTTCCCGCAGGGTTCCAATGAAAAGAAAGGCACAGAGAGTTGGCAGGACAAGTTTCACTAAAAGATGAGCATCAGCGACTGACTCGGCCGCGCATTACGCAAAAAGGCCCCTGCCGTACAAACCACCACCCCTGCCGCGATAATACCAGACACCTGGCCGACTGTGAGGTCTGTAGCCATGCTCAGTATCCACACTTGGAATACTAAATACTACGGAAAAATGGACTAGATTTCCCCACTGCGTCCCCAGGATATCTCTACCATTTTAAAGCTCCGCTCGGTTCTCGTACAGGGGCAGACCCCGTATTCAACCCCACTAATACTGAGGCTGCCACCGCAACGCTTGCCTAGGCGCCCAGGCCGGGTCAAGGCCCTAAATGTTTAGCCATCCTTAAAGAGCAGGCCAAGAACAGAGTGGTAGCGAATGGGGTGGTCGAGATAGCCAGCCCCTCGTATCAGCCTTGGCGGTTTCTGCGCATGTGTTTACCTTGTTTCTTTTACTCTTCCGAGACTGGTTCATGTTTAAGGGATTAAAGAAATGTCCGCTATGTAACATTGGGGTAGCGAAAGAGTTCTTTAGTGGTTGTAATTGATAGAACAGGCAATATCTAGGCCTCGAAACCATACGAAGTCGACAACTACATCCATAGTTGCTGCTTCTCTCTTACATGGGCCAGAAGCATGGAAGAATTATTCAGGCTTCATATGACGAGGAGGAAAATTTGATTCTACAATATTCCCAACTGTGGTGCTTTGAGGACGAGGCTACGGCGCCGGTGGAACTATTCATTCGCTACAACATCGGCCAGCTTGTCGGGCTGGAGAGACCACAACTTGATGTTCCATCGCTTAGAAAGTCGGTTACATCAATGAATTTGACATAGCTATCTGGTGTGAATTGAACAAGATGTGGATTGAAAATAGCACCAAGATCCAGTTCTATCGAGGCTCCATCAGCTCTGGTATGTGCCACCGCTAGTGACCTGCGAGTAAGATCTGTGAAACTATTGACGGGCTTTGGTCATCTTCAACGCTCACAGTGACGTCCTAGTAAAAGTCAGTAGTCAAACTCAGTAGCCAAACTTGAAATTCCGGTATTTCACTCACCGTCCAGTAATCTCGAGGAAAGGAGGATTGGAAAATCCGTCGGTTGCCTTGACGAGAGTGGCGGACAACAACAATATGTACTACCTCCAGTCCCACCCTCTTTAGGATCCTTCATAGGAGTGTAGGCATGGTCTCGCGAGTAAAGAAAGCAATGTAGATACAATAGAACTGAAATGATATCTAGTAATCTATCCGTGCCTAGGGACAGCTGTGTGCCTTATAATAAACTAAGAATCGCTACTCTATAGACTTATATGTATATTGTCATGCACAAGATTATGGTCATCTGCGCGATCGATAATCTCGCCGTACCTTTTTCTCGTGTCTCCTTGACGGCCACTTCACCACGTCAACCTGGTATATAGCCTTGCACGGGGAGACAACAGCGTTTTCTTTTTCGGGTCCGTTCAGCGATCCGGTTTTCAACGTAAAGGCCGCCCTGGCCCGCAGAAACCAACGTTCTCAAACCAGCAATGCCTTGGTCGCCTGATCGACTAAGGTAGTATAACTGTACTAATTCGCTTGTTCTCCAGACAAACCGAGACTACAGGACTTGATTCATTCGACCATCATAGTTTCAGGACCTACCTGATAACACTCCTTTTTCCTTGAGAAGTAACAGCGATCATCGACTGGTGCCAGGCTGGGTGGTATCCTACGTACTGGAAATATTGCAAGGCGCGACGAGTAAGAGTTGATCCAGACTAGTTGTTTTCGTTTTGCTCTTACCTTTTTCTGTAGCTTCAAGAATTCGGAGTAACGTTTATCGTCGGCTTTTTGGGCCTTCTTAAGCCCATCGTGCTCCATCATAAGGTCGTTGCGAATCAGCTGGCAATCCGTTTTAAGCTGTAAAATTTTAGGGTCGTTCTCAAGTGCTGCGTGCTGGGACGAGGTAAGAACTTGGGGTACCGATTCATCTCGGGTCAAGCTTGTATTGCTTGCAAGCTTGATTAAAGAGTCTCTTGTAGGCGTCTCTATAAAAGGAGATTGCGTATCGTCCCGCACAGAGACATAGTTGGCAAAAGTGCCCCCTTTTTGATGGCCCATAATGATATTACTTGAATGTTCAAGGTGTCGTACTTAATGTTAGATAATGTCTTCTTTGATACCTAAGAAAGGGTCTTACTGAGATTTGCCGCTGCTCCCTTACGATATTTGTAAGGGGATCCTCTCTCCCTGAATGCAGCCGAAAGACTGGCTTCCTTCTTGTATTCTCTGAACTGGCTGTATGGAGCAGATAGTTTTGAGTCTGTCGTAAAGATTCCGTTCTCGTCCCGACTTGCTCTCCTGAAGATTGGAGTCTCATATAAGCTTTTCTTGAAATGAATAGATGTTCTATATCGGTGGTCCAGCACAGCGGTCAAACCTCAAATATCTCGAGGGCATGTGATGTACGGGCTATCAAATGCACTATCAAGAAACGCGTATGTCAGAATGTCTTGGATAACGCAGAGTCGTAGGTTATCGTTTCTTTCTGTATAGGTGAACACCGGACTATTCCACGTTAGTGAATTCAAATTCATTGAATCATCGTAAAAAGAAAACCCACGCAACATCTTGGTTTCTCACAACTTTATTCAGCCTATGCGTAATTCTCAGAGAAGAACATGTGATGCTTGGTCGTCCGGGTGCTTCCCCATAAACAACTCGATATCCTTCCACTTTAGAGCATCGCTCTTCTCAAATAACCGGATGACTCGACCAATGTGCCGGGTCTAGCAGACGTAGCGGTCATCATCTTTCGTAGGGTATTAAGTTGAAAAAGGCCCCTAAATGTAGGAAATGCAATCTGACTCTTTGCCAATAAATTATAAGTGGTAATCAATACATCATCGAGGTTCATTGTAGGCTGTGTCATTGCGCCTTTGTCCAAGCCGTATTCATCCGTGAGCGTAACGGATACCAGTTGCGTCCAAGTGCTGACCTAACTTGATAGGGAACTCAGACTTCATTTGTTCGCGGTAATGCATCCGAAAAAAGCGAACAAATGTCTTCAGGGCGGACTGAAATTTGAAGGTATAGTTTGTAAGATACCAACGAAGGAACCCTTCAATAACTCTCAATGTGATGTTTTTAAGCCAGGATTCAGGGTCTGGTGGGTTCAGGTTATCAGTAAAGCTTTCTATATTAGCAGCTATCTCTAGTAAGGAACAGGAATGTTACCATTTAAACTTAACTTGGACGAGATTCAACCGTTCTTTTGTCGCCGCAGCAAAATCACCGGAAACTTGCGGATCCGCCTCATTAACGAAGGCATTACAATCAAGTGGCATGTTTGGAAGCTGTTTCAACGATATGTTTTGATTTAAAGGTTGGACTTGGGTGGTTTGGCCTAACTTATAGAGGAGCGAGAGAGAACTGTGGATTCAGCATCGAGGTTGGCGGGGCTGGAAATATTAATAGAATATAACAACAACACCTGGGCATCATGACGCCGATGTCTGGTTTTATCTTGATTATTAGGGCTCATGATAGAGCCTCCAAGTAATGGATTCGGTATGTATTGCATAGTATTGAAGATGGTATCATTACATAATGGACAATGTATTCTAACTATGGGATAATTACCCTATGCGGAGAGACCACGATTTTGCTCCGCAAAACCACGCACAATCGTAGTGTTTCCGCCGTCACCTCGACTTACACCATATCGGATATTGGATGTAGGTTGTGTCTGGATTAGCCTTGACCACCTTATTTTAGCGCCCTCTGTCCTAGTGCGGGGTTCTATTTAACCCTCCCTATCCCCACTACCCTCATCTGTCCTTCTAAGGTTGATATAGTAAGGTATTTTGTCAATTCATCCGAATTCCGAGCTCCGCCCCCTACGTTATTTTCGGTACGACTAGTTTACCCCTATTTGCTTCGAAGGTCTTTGTGGAATACCTCGAGACTTGACATTTGATTGAGCCTCTCTCTTCAGAATACGGGCTGTGAGCTCCTACCCCGGATCATAATGGATCGGCAAGAAAACCAGTGGGTGGCCTGCCTACAGAGCCTTACAGGTATACTGATTATTTTAGATGTCCTTATGTGGTCGGCAATAGGATCAAACTACATCTCAAAATGAAAGATAACGAGGTCTTGACCAATGCCAGAATCATCAAGTTATTCGAACCGTTCACCCTTTCCTCTGTGATGGTCGTCCGAATAGCCTGTTCTGATTTGGCATTAGAAGGCGATGTGGCATTGAAGCTTTTTGATCCACGCTTTGCAACACAGCTCCGGAAAGATGAAAAACTTCGTCCCTGGACTTCAGACATTGAGAGCGATTATCATCAATTCGTTCTTGATGGTGGTGCATCTCAATTCATCACTGAGCTCAATAACAACGGCGACATAGCACAGCAAGGCGAAACATGGAATAGCTCCCAGGACGAAGCCTATCTTCATGATCATTTATCCGATCTGTATAAAACAGAGGTTCGGGTATATGACACCTTGATGGATATGCAAGGAAATGATATCCCTCAACTACTTGCCTGCGTCACAATTCCAGGCTGTAGTTTGGCGGAAATACAGCCAGCCAGCCAGTATATCGATGTTTCTGGAATCCTTTTGGAGTATATTGAAGGGTTTCCTTTGACCGATATCGCCGACCACACACCAAGAGAGTGCTGGCAAAGCATCTGCGAAGAAGCTATACAAATACTTCATCGGATGGGTGATCATGGGATATTAAACGAGGATGTCAAGACGAGAAGCTTTATCGTGAAGGACACGCGGGCGGAAAGTGGATACAAGGTGGTCATGATTGACTTTGCCCTCAGCAATTTTCGCAAGGATTATGCAGATAACGTTGATTGGAGTGAAGCGAAGGCAATACAGGATGAAGAAGGGGCAGTTGGACTTATCATGCAGGACCGCTTGGAGGGTGGATTTGTTTACCGTCGATCTAATCGATACAAAAAGCCGGCTGATTATTACGAATGAAGCAAAATATCTTTAAGGGATAATTTGGTCCCACGCTAGTACTGGAATAAATACGAACTGTGCTGTTGTATTCGGAATTTCGACGGAAGGTTAAGATCCATGAGTATAAGAGCTAGTAATTTTCGTATATACTGAACCTGATAGAGAGATCTGGCGCCTGCTGTGCCTACGCCAAAACAGTAAAGTTGAAGTATTCCCAAAAACAGAAACTCAAAAGCCATATTTCTTAAGTCACTGGCCTAACTCGATGTGATATAGCGACGGCCTGGGCAAATGTTGAATGTCGAACTTATGAGTTCGTTACAGACAACGGTGACTGCCCGAGCACCGAACAATCACACAATGCCCGAATGCAAGAGACAACAGACTCCCGTCACCGGCCTGAGAAAATTAACCCCCCGTCTACGGGCGAGTCTCAGAAAGCATTATGCGAGCAGATGTTACTAGGTTGGGCAGAACAGAGGTATCCGATCGGCACATAGAAGGAAGAATCTCCATAGAAGATACTTGGGTTAAATAAATGCTGGTGCTGAGCAACCAATGCCATCTAACACGACGAACCTTTTCATTTTGGATACACGCAGTAATCAACAGCGAAAGTAGCCAAAGTTTGCTTGGCTACTGCCCGCTTATTTGGGAAATTAAATCTGTCTGGGAATTGAAGTTGGGATCTCCTATTTTATACCGGCAAATTAAATGCGAACTGAAGTCAGAGTCGGAAGTCAGAATATATATATCCACGTGATGTTGTTTCCTCTTCGATGGCCGTTCCGCGGGAGATCATTTATCCTGCTTTTCATCACGTCGCGGACTGCAGTTATTCCTGTCACACTATCCACGGAATCTAAACCTGACCTAGATCGCTTTTTGTTGTGCATATCCTCGGTATGTGCTTGCCTATTGGAATCTTGACATGCGACATCGACCTTGTTGGACCCAACTAATTCCAAGCCGCCCCGCGGTTGAAGCAATGCCATATCTTTGTGATTGATCAGATTGTCAATCGTTTAATTCAAATTGAAATTCTCCCGATGTCCACAAACCACTTGAATAATACAAGTGCACATAAAGGTACCTAGGTGACACCAGCTATTTTTTACGCATAAGCTTACCCGGATAAGACTGCCCAACCTGCACGAGGAGGCGTATAAATTGCGACCGAACTTTACCAGAATGCAGAAAATGCATCTCTCGAGGGTTGCCATGCCCCGGCTATGGAATCGTTCTGAAATGGGGTAACGGTGTCGCGAGTAGGGGCAAATTAACAGGAAGAATGCTACCAGTTCGGGAATCCGCCGATGTGAATTCCAACATTCCTGAAGATCGTCGGAATAATTCGACGAATCAAATTCCAGCCCTTGAGGAGAACCCCGCATCAATCGATCGTGGATTAGGGCTGAATATCAACCCCGCGACGTTAGAATTGATGCAGCATTTTCAACAGAACATTGCAAGGAAGCTTGCTTGGGTAGACGGCCCAACGAATCCATGGCGACAAGTTATCATTCCTCTTGCTTGGATGTCACCAACAGTCCTTTGTGCTGTGCTGTCTCTATCATCCGAGGACCTTGCATTCAAATATGCACACGATCACCCTCGACATAACGATCTACAAAGCGTCTCACTTCGATTTCGAAATAACGCCTTAGCCTTACTGGCAAGGCAGATTAGCTCGCTGAGAGAGCGAGAGATACCGCAAATTGAAAATCTCGACCCGAACGAGATCAGCTATACTCTCGCCTCAATGCTCCTACTATACAACGTCGAACTTCTTAACGCAGAGCCTATCAAGTGGCGAATGCACTTACACGCAGCTCGGGTTATCGTCCAATGGAGAGAACAGGCTTCTTCTTCTTGCGCATCACTCAATGAAATCGACACATTCCTTTTCTACGAACACTACTACGCTAGTGTCTTTGCGGGACTCACAACATTTGATCCAGCGGATGAGTTCACAGGGAACAATTTGAAAACTCCAACGATATCACCATCTTCAGTGACTTTGTACGTGTTATCCATCGAGTGACACGAATTGAACGAGTTGCATATGATCAAGGGTCTTCTGTGGAGCCAACCCAGATAGAGAACATTATTGGCGAGGTGGATGCAGCAAGGCAGAGAATGGCACAATTAGGCCAAAGAATGCACCTACAGGGGTGTCATGCCCAAGACTTCCAGCATCTTGTGTACATCTTTTACCACGCAAGCCTGATATACAGCTATCAGGTATTGAAAAACGACTCATCGGCTGATTCCAATATTCGAGCTTCCCGAGACTCGATCTTGGACCATTTGTACTCTCTCTCAAACAGGGAAACATTCGCCCATGATCTTGTCTGGCCTCTGTTCATTCTGGGGACTGAGTGCAGAGGACTTCCGACAATGCAAGAGATGGTATCTCGGGAAATGGAAGCTGTCATGGAAGTTAGCGGCGTACTTGATCGACGCAAGGTTTTGTTCTTCCTCCAGCATTACTGGTCACTCGATCTGGATCGCAGTGTCACATGGATTTATCTTTTGAGAGAGATGATGCCTGGTAAAATGATGTTGATTTTGTAAAAAGAGATTGTTCTGTCATATATGCTTTAGATTATCGTTGTCCGATCCATCAGACCTACATCGTACGATCAGCATGAAATCCCATTCCAACTCGATTCCTCGCCAATAACTTTTAGTCTACAACGTTTAGTGTTCCATCAATTTTGGCCCAAAAAAGAAATCCAAAAAATCCAAAAAAATCCTCTGACCCGGGATCGAACCAGGGACCTCAAGATAACAAGTTCCATGAGAACACGTCAATTACAGTCTTGCGCTCTTCCAGCTGAGCTATCAGAGGAATTGTTGTGATTAAGCTGATCCTTAGAGACTTATTAACTAATGGCCAGAGGTTGAGATTCACTATCGAAGTTCTTATCAGTATATCGGAACGTTGGAATTGACATGTGAAACCGGAGATTTTCGTTGAACTATTTTAGTTGTTTCCTGTTCATTTGATCCCGATTTTTTTCTTTTTCCATACAAGTTTACATATGGTAAATAATTAGCCTGTCAACTTCAACCCCAAACACCGCAGTGCCAATGGAGTACTCGGGACTCGCTATTTTCCCCATCCCGGCATCCATTCGGCGTCGATTGCCCCGCCTATATTCATCCCGAGCCGTTCCCAAAACCACCGAGTCAACCGGGGATCAGCGCCGTGGACTGGCATCTTCATCCGAACCACATCTGCTATGTCACAGCCAATTCTCGGCGTCGGTAACACCCGAGCTCCAAAGGCCTTCCACTGCCAGCGATGACTTGGACTCGTTCGACTCTGGTTCCGTGGGATCAGATAGTCTTCGGGAGGATATATCCCCGGCGAAATACGAGACCGAGTCTGGGCTGCGGTGGAATCGAGTCGTACCCGGTGAGTCCTGAGTCCTCTTGGGGTTGTTATATAAAATATTTATTGCGCGCCTTTTACTAACTTTGTAAAGCGTTCAATCTTCTCCGCAATGCGGGATATGAAGCCCAGCAGCCGCAGCCCGATGGGCGTCTGGCTCGGTCTCTATATGTCAACGCTTTGGTCTACCTTCTCGATGCGTTGCCTTCTGACCTGACCACGGAGGAAACTTCCATGCTTCAGCGCCATATGCCAGAACCGGTCAAAGTTGGGTTGACGACGTACACGCATCCGCCTGGGTATATGGATGGCACGAATCGTAACATAACCCCCCAGCCAAGATCGTATCTGCATAAAGTTCTCGCGTCGACAATTGTGCAGCTGTTCATTCTATTGCGGTTCCTTCTGCCGTATGTAAGGGTGTTATTGCGCCAGCTATATGAGTATGAACGGACACATCGCATTACTGAGCGCATCGTGACTACAACACTGGAGGCAGCTGATGGGTTGGGGAAAGGCACTGTTAATATTGGAGCTGCTGTTTGCAAGTTCAATGAAGGGCGGGTTGGTGCTGCACTGGCAAATTTCGCAGCTTGGTGGATGGAAGGTGTAGCTGGAGGGATATACGAGGGGGTTGGTGAGGGGATGGTACATTTGGGTCTCTTGGGAAAAGAAGCGGACTTGAATAGACTACCTTTGCAGTCAATGAGTATGTAGATAGATCATAGACATGGCTTAGATTAGATTATGTCCTAACGAGAGCGAGAGTTCATATTTATGAAGGTTGGACCACTGAGAAGATAGATATCCAAGGCAAAAAGCTGTTCTGCTCAATCTTTGGTCGCAAAATCCAGAGCCGCATGTGACAGCAGTCGTGTTGTATCGACAACCTCGACACCGCAGTTTTGTTCCGTAAGAATAAGTGGCAGCTCTGTACAACCAAGGATGATAGCATCACAGCGTGTGGCAAGTTCCTTAGCAATGCGAACCAACTCGCTTGTCGTAGTTTCCAGGAAGATCCCATTAATCAGCTCCTGTACAATAGCATTCATGACGATTGCCTGGTCAGTTTCGGACACATAGACAGCAGCCATGTCCCTCTTTTGTAGCGGGCCATTATAGAGACCGTTTTTGACCGTCCAGGTTGTGCCTAGAACTCCAACGTTCTTGTAACCCTGTTTTTTGCAGTGATTTGCAGCGACATCGAGGATACTGAGAACAGGGATGTTTGACTGGGCCACAATGTCATCGAAAGCGACGTGTGGAGTATTGGCACTGATGATGGCAAACTCGGCGCCTGCTTTGGCGGTGCGGTTGATCGAGTCGGCTAGAAATGCTGCCAGGGACTGGTTGTCGCCGGACTTGAGTGCTTGTTCCAGATCTCCGTAGATAGGGGTATGGGTGACGATTTGAGGGTAAGCAATGCCCCGCCGCGCTGCTTCTCGTCCGATTTCTTGGTGGGCAATGACCCCGCCTTCAATGGTTGGGATGCAGATTCCGATGGTCTTCATATTGACGTTTTGAACGGGTTGGAATGGATTAGGAAGTGGGAGAAGTCGAAAAGCGTACGGGGTTACGTTGTCTCAGACGGTCTCAGCCCTAGAGGACACTAACATACAAATAGTAACCCTGTCAGCTAGAGATGACATTGTACTATTTCTTATAGTATATACAATAAACCAGTAACCATATTACTATTATATATAAGCCTACTATACTTATAATTGAAGCTATCTGTGGGATGTATTCCCACTGCACAAATCCAAGCTATTCCGACCGTACAAAATGCCTTCATAGATTGATCTTTACAACAATTACTTTATCACACCGGAGCCAGCGGAGGGCGATACACACAGAGACATAAAGTGTTATACGCGAATAGCGTCAGGTAACTTACAAGTACTCGAACCTCTGAAATTTTCGACCTCAGAAGGGTCGAATCAAACTTATGTACCTCGTACCCTCCTCAGTACCCCTCAATTACCTGCCCCTCCAAAGCTGCAACGCTTAGGGCATCCATACCCAACAACTATGCAACCTAAGTCTCAATGATATCCCGAGTCGAAGTTCGTGGACGATTATACTACCTCTTTGCTCGCCTTACTTCGCTCTTCCATAAACCAAACGGACGCATAAGGCATACATACTCGTTCGCCTCAAAGGGCGACAACGCTTTTCCAAAACGTGACCTCTTGCGACTTGTCTTAAAATGAACGAAATATAGTGCCCTCAATTTTACCGCTCCAGCTGAGCTCATCCGGAAACAAATACAAGAGATGATACCTGGGGACTCAGGCGAACAAAAGTCGGGGAAAGCCGACAGACTTCCGACCAAGATAAAGGGTGGCGCCATTTATGGAGGAGACATTCTTGCCAAAAAGGTTTCAGAGTTAATCCATGAAATGAAAATTGGCAACGTACGTGATGTTCCTCACGGCTTGATCTCTTTTCTCACGAGAACATAGTGGATCTGGACTGTAGCGCGATTCCACGAAGCCAAGGAAATCGTCAATGACGCCTCTCGAATGTACCTGATCCCGCTCTCTGATACTTTCACCCTCTTCCTGAAGACCGATGAAGGAAGAACATCCCAGCAGGTATTGGAAGAAGGGCAATACGCATACATCAAAACAGATGCCATTGTCTGCGCTAGAGCTAGCGTTATCTTCCTCATTCCCCCATAATTGCTATAAGTAATGGTTGTTTTAGGTATGTTTCTTTTATCAGACAGGTGGGGTGAATACCGTTCGTATGTACTGAATGCGTGAAATATACTCGGATCTTTTCAGAAGTATGTCCAGCAAAGAAAAGCCATAAAACAGTGCCCGTTCACATTTTATTGGCTAGTCATCTTGAATTTAGTAAAGACTGTCAAACTCTTGACCCATACGTATAAAATTAGAACTCTCAAGCCGTTGAATGTCTGAGGTCAGATGTAGATCGGCGATAAGCAATCGATAAGGAGATCAACCCCCAGAGCTTCACAACTCCCCAACTTAGGTTTCCTCTGCTAAAGTAAACATGTCGACCTCCAAGTTGCCCTGCATACCTTCACTTCGAAAGCAGCAGCTCCACCTGGAATTGTGAGCCTCTTTACCCCGTGCAAACCAGTATGCATACTGACTTTCACACAGCGCGAGCTTAAGACGTGCAGCACCGCCAGGGGTTTATGTGAGCCTCGCGCCCGGGGACCCGACACTCTGGAATGGAGTGATTTTTGTTCGCTCAGGTGAATCCAAACTTATTATTTACTGCACCACGCGTCGACTGACTCCCGTTTGTAGGCCCCTACGCTTCAGCCGTCCTCCGGTTCCAACTCCGGTTCCCAGACACCTATCCCGACCTTCCTCCTCTAGTCACCTTTGCGACGGACTTGTTCCACCCATTGATCGTGCCTCTCACTACATATACTTTTAGCACTGGCTCAGCAAGTGACAATCCCGTTAGCGCAACGGACGACGAACGATTACCGCCTGGCGGATTCAGTCTGCGCCATGGATTCCCTCATTGGTTTGGCAGGGCAAAGCGGAGCGGACTAGCATCGGGAAATACGTCACGGAATGTAAGCGGTAATAGTGCAAGTGCTGCGTCGACAGGACATGGGAGCTCTGCCGGCCCGGTTGCAGATGGTGATGAATCGAATGCGTCAAACCCTCCAGACACTTCAGCGGCCAGTGAGGACGGCGGCGTAGAAGCGCCACGTTTGGCACAAGCACCTGCTAAGGATCAATTTGCGGAACGAAGGAATGTCGTCCCGGTGTCGGAGATATTGGATTACATTCGGTCGACGTTTGATGACGAATTGGTTTTGGATTCGCTGCCGGTTGAGGTCGCAGGGAATCCTGGAGCATGGCATGCATGGCAGGCGCATCGTCGAGGAGGGCCCCGAGGACAACTGAAACGAGGAAGCCCACAGGCTCGCCTTCCGGGGGATTGGCACTGGGATGGAATCTGGGCTAGGAGGGTGAAAGATGAGATTGAAAACTCTCATTCTGAGCCGATGCTGTTTGGAGGTGCTGCTCGTGGGGGTGTGGATGAAATGGTATATGACCCTTGATTCCCAGTGTCGAGTTGTACTAACCACATTTTGTAGATTCGGTTTTCGCGACTGGATGATACAACCTTGAACTCAGTCAAGGAAAAGATGGCTGCGATGGCAGGGAACGGGATATAAGTGCTATTATGATACCCAAATGCTACCTACTTTACCTTCGAATGTTCCATCCGACTTAATGAAGAATTCCAGGGATCGTCCGTCCAGGAGCCATGGAACTGACATCGCCATTGCCGTCTTAGTCGTCGGCCTGGGAAGCGGCAGGAGCAAATGGCTTCCAAGGTTCGATGTTGTTTACTTCTTTCTCCTCTTCACATCAATTATATTCGAACAAAATGACCTATAAGATATCATATGATATTAAACGCTCAGCTTTAATTATTGCATTGATCCTCGTTCCTATCGTTGTTCTCGTCTTCGTTGTTGTCATCGCTCTTGCGTGTTCCAATTACTGGAGCATTCATTCCCTCAAAGAATCGTTCCTGTGGTGCCTGTCGTGCCTGTCGTGCTTCAGTCTCTGGAAGCAGCAGAGACGCAAGACGATCCCATCGGACTCGGAGACTTGTCCCGTCACGCCCCAATCGACTTTACCTCGTGCGACAGAGGCTTCAAATATTCGGATTGAGTTTGAGCGCCCTGTCACCAACAGAGAGCGTATTTAAATCTCGCGAAACCATGGAGAACACACCAACTACGCCGATCACTGTGGTCAAACGCCGGACACCATGCATCACACACATACACAGAGCGAACTCGACATCTAGCTCTCTTTCGAGTATGTCATACCCACAGATCCCTTCTCGCCGTTCTTCCCTTTCTACGAGCGTGGAATACGATTCAAGCGAGCTTGCGACATCAACCAGAACCCCATCTCTCAGTGATAGTCTTTACAATATCGATGTTGTTAAAATTCGCCAGGATCATGCTGCAGCTTCCCGGGTATCCGCAAGACTGGCCTTGATGCGAATGCAGACCCATTTGTCGACCAGGTAATTTCTGCCATGATTTCAAGAGCCTGTTCTTGCTGACGTTTTTCTTCAGACACCGTGCCGCCGTGTTGATCCTCGAAGAGGAGTCATGACTGAGAGTGGGTATCAACTAGCGCCACAACTGCTTGTTCGATGGAGCTCCGGGTCTTATGGCTCTGTAGAGCCATGTGTTTCCTCGAAGCCAGCCTCGGCTTCCGGTGCAATGGATCCGCCAGCAGATTCCATCTCAAAAGAGAAACCCAGAATGGATAGTGTCCGGTCTTTATCAAACATGCTGCACCCAGGGTCATCCGGATTGCTTTGTCCGTTGGAGCTTCCTGTCGCATTTGCCACCATGAGATCTTACGCAGGCTGGCCGTGTATGGGCACAGATTCGATGTCCGTATGGACGTCAGTAAATGTATCTGCTGATGTTGAGCCTATTTCCCCGCCTGAGGCCTCGAGTCTTGCACCCCTTGACATTTATTATACTTTTTGACAACTTGTGAGTTGAATTTCTTGCCTTACTCGTAAAAGGAAACATGTTTTGCTGACCGTAAAACAGGCAGCAATCTTCTGTTAGCCTTTTGACACCAATGGTCCTGGCATCTTCTGTGTTTGCTTCAAACTTGGTCGCTGAAAGTGACAGAACAGCCATAGCATGTGTTGACGGAAGTTCTAGAAATGGGTTCAAGCTATTGCTTCCGTTGGGGTTCCACTCATTCGAGACGTTGAGAACTGCTCTGAATGAATTTTCTCTCCGCCGGTTGAAGAAGAAAACGAGAAGATCCCCTGACGTGGGTAATTCTATTCGACAAGCATCTCGACTCTTTTACCCATCTCCCCGAGCAGCGTTTTGTCATCTGGTATTCATTTCCGCGTGCCCCCCAGAAAATCTGTCCATATCTGGGGTGGACAAGGCTATTGGTATTCATACAATCTCCCCTCAGCTTCGTTTTCCTCTTGGCACAGAAAACCATCCACTTGGCTGGCACATTTTCTATGATGCCGATGCAGACGATCCACGGTCCTGCGAAGTCCATTTCATGCGAAGGGTCTCCAAAGTCGTTCGGCAGCTTCGTACTGGTCTCAGCCCTGGGTCCATGTCGGACTTGTACCTGTTCGTTGAGCAAGGTCACGGATGCCGGTTTGAGTCGGCAATGGAAGACTGCCATCTGGCGCGTTTACGACCAGGAGAGACATGGATCTTCAAAGTGAAAATCGGTGTGCCGATCGAGTTTTATCAGGAAACTCAATTGATTGAGCACCCCGGACTCGAAGACTTGATCCGGCAGATCAACTGTGTCATAAAAGCATATTCTTCTGAGCCGGCTGCCCAACATGTTCTAAGCGCCCGCCTCGAGCATCAGCACTCTTTGCTACCTAGACCGCATACTATTTGCCTGGAGACCCACTGCACCATCCCACGCACCCCGGCTGTGCCGCCCCGTCCTTCTAACGACCATCGCCAGGTCTCAGCGCTAATGTCGTATGAACTCGATGATGATGCTATCAGTATCAGTTTGGGATCTGCAAGCGAAATCAGTTGAGATCAACAGTTTGGATTTGTTCTTTTGGAGTCATCACGCTATTCTTATGGGCCTTAGGGTTTATTTGCTCTTGACAGACTTGACTTATTCTTTTATATTTATACCTGTATAGGAAGGCTCTCTCTTACTCTTGGAGTAAAGTTTCAATTGGATGCAACTCGGTATTTGACTCATGAATTGAAAATATTCCTTGTGTCCTAATCCAGTACTAACACTGAGTATTGCGCAGACAGAAAGCAGGTACATAACTACATAACCACAAAAACGTCGCAATTGACATAGACCATAAAGTATCAGATGCGAGGATAGACATTGCCCGCCATCCGCCATGTCTCTTTGATCAAATCCGCACATTTCTCTCCAATGCCATAAGCCGGCATCTGGGTATGTCCTCCATGCAACGTAGGCATGACGCTGCAATCAGCAACTCGCAACCCCGAAACACCCCTGACCTGCAATTTCTCATCGAGAACAGCCATGGGATTATCCTTCTTCCCCATAGCACAAGTGCCCGCCGCATGGTAACCTATTAACAAATACGTCAGTAAATCAAAAGCCAAACCGCATCCACTACTCCCCAACTCACAAGTAGTCGCATGCTGTTTCACATACGGAACCCATTCCTCCCTCGATTTATAAGTATGATGATTCAAATTCGGCGGCCAAGACCCCTTGACAATATCCTTGGTCCCGGCACCCTGCATAACAATCTCATTCCCAAACCGACATGCCTCACTAAGAACCAACAGATCAAGTGGATCATCCAGATAATTACAATCAACAACCGGGTTCACCGACGCATCCGCCGATTCGAGAACCACCGAGCCACGAGACTTCGGCGAAAACAGCTCTGCAATCATGGAAAACGCGTGCTGATTATTAATCGGGAATTGGTCGTATTGCTTCGGACCACCGTAGCACTCTGTGGTGAAGAACTCGATGTTCGGTTGCCGTGGTGTAAGGCCCATGGGATCACGGCCTGGTTCGCGGGGGGCGTTCTTCCACAGAGGCTCGTCTTGTAGTCGGTCGTCGAGGCGCGCGAAGGCGAAGCTGCCGAAGGGGAAGGTGGATAGGAAGCCGGTTTTGTTCTCTTTCCATTGTGCGTAGGTTCGGTCGAAGTTGTCGCCGTGGTAGACGTGGTGGTCGGTTGTTAGGCCTTGCTTTTCGGTTTCGTAGAACATAAATACGATCTGGAGGGTGGAGGGTTAGGTGGTTCGTGTTGGTATTAGTGGTTGTGTAGGGGATTACTGACGAGGTGGTCCATTAGGTTCTTGCCCACGCCTGGTAGATTGACTAAAGATGGAATATTATGTTGTTCGAGCTCTGCCTTGGGCCCGATGCCAGATCGAAGGAGGATTGCCGGACTGCAGTAGGCGCCTGCGGAGATGATGATCTCCTTTCGAGCGTAGTAGGTCTTAGAGCCGCCACCTGAGGTCTGCGTGACTACACCGGAAGCGCGGGTCTCGTTTGCCTGCTTGCTGAAGATGATTTTGTCGACAGTGGTATCAGTCTTAATGGTGATGTTCCCACGGTGGTTCTTGTTGGTGACGAAGTCTGCGCTTGTTGTCCGAAGGCCCTGGTACACTGTGCGAGGTACATGGCCACATCCTTGTGCAACATCGCCAGTGCTGAACATGTCATGATGCAAGGGCATGCCTTGTGAGACATAAGAATCCATTAAAAGCTGGGAGATTGGCGCTAGATCATGCGGCTCTGTGTGAAGAGGACCGGAGTATCCGTGACTCTCTTTGTCGGCCTGGAACCACGCCTTTGGGTGAAATGTTTCCGACTAGTCATATCGTTAGCACGTATCCATATTCGGTATTTATCGCCCTTGAGGCGTGGAATATTGCGACCCACCTTTCGCATATACTTGAAGAACTCCTCCCACTCCACCCGTCTAGTCCCCAGTCATCATAATCCTGCTTGTTGCCGCGAATGCAAAGCGTGCCATTGCACCCACTGGATCCTCCAAGGAATCGGCCACGGCTCAGCTTCACTTGGCGATTGTCAACTCCCGCCATTGGAGGAGTGACGAAGTTCCAATCGGTCTCGCCATCGAAGTTGTTTGACCACCTAATCTGTCAGTGACGAGGACTGCATCAACTAGGCTTTTGTAACTCACCCGCCGGTCATATGAACATTCTCCAGGTCCTTACTGTGCTGTCCAGCCTCCAACAGCAAGACTTTGACCTCGGGGTTTTCAGCTAGACGACCAGCAACCACACAGCCAGAGGTCCCTCCACTAACTCATGGTTAGCAAGATTAGAAGCAACTCTCTGCGTAGGTATATTACCCGCAGACAATATAATCGTAAGTATTATCAGTTCCAGTAGTCATAGTGTTGATTCCAGATCACAATTGCATAAAGATGGCAAACGAAGATCACCAACGAAGGGCATAAAATTCAAGCTCAGCCTTTTACACCGTACTTTTGCAATGCCCGAGCCTGGGCGGAGGGGATTCCGCATACAACATACATATCTTCGTGTTGAGGGGTAACTCTGGGCAATCTTACCTGTTTCTGTACACAATTAGAAACACATAGGTCCATCCACATACATTAGGGGCACGCTCCAGTGACAAGCTAGTAGCACCTGGCATATAATTGGTCCAAATGTGGGTGTCAGACGGCTGACGCCGAAGGGTGGATGGAGTCCGCGGAATTAGCAGTCCACTTTCCGCGTCCCCTGAGGCCACAGTGTCCAAGCCTTATTTTGCGGGGAGTTCAGCTTCATCTTATACTTTGTATTAGTACATGTACTTTGCATACCCGAGGTCAAAAGCAGGATGGTACATGAGTCTCATGACCTATTATTGCGAGGCCGAGAAATTCTCCAAAGTGGGAGCCTTGTCCAGGATGGCTTTCTTTCCCCACACCGGATCCCCATCATCATCAAACTCGGCCCACTGGAAAAACGAACACCCTTCCTTTCCAGGTGCAAAGCCAGCGTAGCACATCCACATGTATCTCCCTCGCGTCTCATTCTTGCGTTGTGCACACCGGAGAATGGTATGTTCGCCACACTTGCAACGTGGAGTGTAGCGTGGGTGTAGAGAATCGCGATACCAACGATATGTGATATTGATACGCCTGTTCCCGGAGATCGGATGTGGAGAAATGGTTTGAGCCGGGGCGATGGAGTGCTTCCACTCCTCTTGCATCTCCGCGTGCATAATGAGGAGAGAATTGTGCGGAAGATGGATGGAGATTTGACCTTGGGCGTCAGCGCGTGCAGCTGACACAGTCTGGTTCCCTGCAGGATTTGACCCTGGACTAGTCTTGTCTGCATCGCGACCTTCTTCCGCAGTCTCGTCGTCGTCTCGAGCTACTATCCGACGGACTCGGAATTCGCGAGCCACGCCCAAGCTCAAGCTTCCTATCACTGGGTGGGGTCCGAGATAGGTCAGTTCGTCGGAGTGATATCCCACGCTTTCGGTAGGCCCGTCGTAGCAGTTTACAAATGCCGCATTGGGTTGCCACTCCTTTGGTGACTGGTACTGTAACTTCTTTCCGTCGGGATAGATGTCTCGAATACGTTTGTTGATCTCGCTGTTGACAGTTTTCTGTACTTGTCGCGACACTGATCGTAGCTGCGGTGTTGCCTGGCGCACATTTGACCGATATGTGCCACCGTAAGTGTATTCCGAAGTCTGTTGACGGTGCTCTTCGGGTGTAGAGACGTACACAGCGTGTGTGTGGGGACTCTGGACGGTGCGGTTGAAGAGTTGGAAGTCGTACCGAGAAAAGTGTTTGGATTCATCAAGTAATTCAAGCAAAAGTGTATTTGCTTCTTTAGCGGGTAGGAAGTTGTGGATGATAGTACATGGTGTGTACATGGCAATATCTTCCGGCGAGTAAAGGTGTAGTGATTTGCCCTTTTGTGGAGGCGGAAGCTTTTTCTTACTCGCACTTTCACGCAAAGGTTTCATGCTCCCATCTTCAGCAGTTGTCAAAACATGTGATGAGAGAGATGTTTGCATGCCGAATGATGAGGCAACAGCAGCACGCTTTTTGCCGACGGGTGTGCCTGCTGTGGAGCCTTTTGCAGAGAGGAGTCCAACAACATTCTCCACGGAGCCTTCGCAGGATACGAGTAGATCCAATAGCTCATCCTGTTTGATAGTCGGGAAGAGAGATAGCAGTATTGCTAGCTTGGTATCAGTGTCTTCGTGGGGACCTGATGACTCATGTTTGGCCTCGCTCAAATCCGAGAGCCGTGGACGTTTCCTGGATATGAAAGCATCCATGCTTCGAGTCTCATTCTTTGAGGCTCTGAAAAGTGATGAATGGGCCTCGGTATGGATGCTCAAGGTCCTAGATAAGCCGCATGAATCACGATAAAATGCTTATCGGCACATGATTGTCGTCGAAGTAGCCAATCAGATTGCGTTTTCATAGTACAGGTCCAGGGCCTGCCCGGTTTAGAAAGATCTTTCATGCACCTGTCTACATGAATTTATAGGAAAGTGGAGAGATTTGCTAGTGACGTATGTGTCTGTACCAACAGCATCTTCTTGTTGATAGTTCAGGAAAGTACTACGAAAATATCACCTCGTTGGCCCCATTTGCTCTTGCTCTACTACGGCCTGTGGATTTATCTACTAAACAAACCAGAAATAGAAACAAAACCGAGATAGCAAGGAACGTTCGTGTGTTCTTTTGTATTGGAAGAACATTAGAGCTCTCGGGAGCGCAATCGTTGAACCCGATCTAGGAAACTCTGTCAGTCGTGTCTTGCCAACTCAGATCAAGTTGAACCCAGTACGAGGTAGGGATATTGGAGCCTCAGTACCAGACAAATCTGCTCAGTCAATTCTCGCGGTTTTACTTGAACAGCCCTTCTATGACGACCGCGCTTTTTACCATCAACCCACAATTTGCAGAACATGGAGAACCTTTGGAATCAAAAAATTACAGATGGATACAGGCCGCATAAGCAACGAACTATTCTTAAGAGATATATGTGAAAATGATGTGAGAAATTATTCAAAGGGCCAGCTTAATACACTCCAATACAGGCTAAAGGCTCCATTTCCCCTCTCCCAAGTACACCTTTCCCTCCCGGTGATAGTCAATCAAGCATTTCATTTGCCGAAGCCCATCAAAGACCTCTACTAACGCATCGAGTGCCACCGTCGTCCACCCATGATAACTCCCACGCTGTTCCCGAAGAGAGTCAGATACACATTCCATGCCGGGTTCCGCAAGCGGGTGATCACCAATCCTCGAATCCGGGAAATTCTCCTCAATAACCTTCACCCAGCATCCACCCACATTTGCATCACTCTCAGCCATCGAGGAAAGATCCAAAACACCTTTCAAGTGCGACAACGCTCCATCATCTAGCATCAAGCATATGCGCAGTCTGCTCGGGAGCTCTGTTTCTGGTAACCCGAGCGACACCTTAAACTCGTGGAATATCTGTCGAATCTCTTCCACATTCATATCGGCGTACATTTCTCGCGAGTTGAAAATCTTGGTTGAATATGTGTTTGTGAGGATTTCGATTTCTTCATCGGAGCCTATCAACGTCCGGCGAAACGCCCGGGCCACGGAACTGTTGAGGTAGCGCATAAACACGGGGAGCAGACGTTTGGTTTCGGGGGCGTATGAGGTGCGGTAGACGATAGGTCCCCATGATAGGGTGAGAAAATCGCGTTCTGGGCCTGGCGGTAGGGATCTCAGGCCTGGCAATGATCCGAGTCGGTAGACTTCTTCTTTCAGGAATACGCTGGCTGGGGATGTATATTGCTTCGGTGCTGGCTTTGGGATATCGCCTCCCAGTGGGACTGCGACTTCCATATTATATTGTTGTGAGCTTATCATAGCGGTTGGTTTGTATATTAAGGAGAGTGTATATTCCGTCAGAATTGAATGGAGCAGACTAAGAAGCAGATTTCAGAAGAGGCCAATCATGGCGTCATTCCCATACTTTGTAGAGGTTGAGGCGATGTACTCTGGAGTGGCTGAACTTGTGCCTATCCAACATGATTGGCTCAAGTCTGCTATCAAATGGAAAATTGAGGTTCTAGAATGGTTCCTTATTACTGTTGCAATTAGGACTGGATGCAGCTGTATATATAGTCCCGTTGACGTCAACGATCACGAACATCATATAATTCATCTCAACCATTGATCTACGTATGTATGCAAAATCAGGTTTATCTTGCTTAAATTGGATCTAAGCAGCAGCATTTAAGAAATGGAATCTGTAAGAAATATATTAGTATGAACAAATGTATTGATGGACATGCTATGTACAACGTGGTGGCTTGACACTAAAACATGAGAAAAGCTTAAGAAGACAAAGACGAGTCAAGTTACCAATTAAATTGAGGTGATTTCAATATCAAAATGCAGATATACAACATTGCAGGTACCCAATAAGCCAAAAAGCGAATGTGAAAGTACGGAAAGGCCGTGCCTGAAAGCCAAGGAAGGACCTCGGCCCATTTGGATCCCCGCAATCCCGAGATCATACGCGAATCCGAACTTGACATCTCCGTGACCGTTGACACTTGTTTTGATACCCTAGCTTGTTTGAAGATCTCCTTTTCTTCCTCTTTCTCTTTCCCTTTTCTACCGCCTTCGAGCGACCGCGCCGGTCAGTTGCTCATCATGCTCCATTACCGCACGCAAGGATATAACGGTTGCGCTGTCAAATACTCCCCATTCTTTGACAATCGGCTCGCTGTTGCAAGCTCTTCAAACTTTGGTCTAGTTGGCAATGGCCGTCTGCATATTCTGGAACTGACTGCCAATGGAATCCAACCACTAAAATGGTAAGTGGAATGTTCGCAGACCCCGCCGCCGCCGCCGGAGTGTGCAGGACAGTCGGAAAAGAAACAACATAGTTCTAACCATTTGGCGCTATCGCAACCTCCAGGTTTACAACACAAGACTCACTATATGACCTCGCATGGTCCGAAATCCACGAGAACCAAGTCCTCGCCGCATCAGGCGACGGCAGCATCAAATTATTCGACTGCACAGCGAACGACTTCCCAATCTCAAACTGGAAAGAGCACGCGCGGGAAGTATTCAGCGTAAGCTGGAATCCCGTCGCAAAGGACCGTTTCTGCTCAAGTAGTTGGGACGGCACAGTCCGCATCTGGTCGCCACATCGCCCACAGTCCCTCCTCACCCTCCCAACCCACAGCTGCACCTACTCCGCATCCTTCTGTCCACACAGTCCAGATATTATCTCGTGCGTGACGTCAGACTCATACGTGCGCGTTTTCGATCTCCGCACCCCGGCCTCCGCCTCAAACCACCTCGTCACTCAGATCCCCATCCACGCCGGACCCCCCCGCGCCTGCAATCCCCGGCCAACCCGGTGGCCCTGCCCCGCCTGCTGAGGCCCTCACCCACGACTGGAACAAGTACCGTCCTACTGTTCTGGCTACAGCCGGTGTTGACCGTGCTATCCGGACGTTTGATATCCGGGCCCCGCAACAAGGGCCGCTGTCCACTATGCTCGGACATGAATATGCTGTGCGGAAATTGGCTTGGTCGCCGCATCTTTCTAATGTTCTTTTGAGTGCTAGTTACGATATGACTTGTCGAGTGTGGAGTGACCGGTCAGATGTGGCGGGCGGGGATATGGACATGATGCGCGCTGGTCCAGTGGTCGGCGCGGAACTTGGGCGCATGGGTAGACATACTGAGTTTGTGACGGGTGTGGACTGGTGTCTCTTTGGCAGTGAGGGCTGGTGTGCTAGCGTTGGCTGGGATGAGAATCTGTATGTGTGGGATGTGCGAGCCACCATGTCATAAGATATTTGAAATATCAACCATTATATATCGCTCTGGCAGGGTCCAGAAGCTTGTCAACTTTTTTTCCGGGCGTAATCGAGCGATGCTATGTGATGGTTTACTAAAGATGTGTGTTTAAGATCAATATTGGGTTTCCTGATAGCTTGCTGTCGGAATAGACTGAATAACTTGAGAGGGATATTGATCATTTTATTTCGTAAGTTTATATGTCGGAGAGGCTAAAGACACAATGCATGATGCGATGTAAGGACAAATGCGTCATGGCTGTCTATTCCCCAGGCTTAATGGTTAAGCCTTTTGTTCGAACTCTGCAGCAACTCAATGACTCGAACGGCTGGTATTCCTGAACCGCGCGAAAATGACTTCAAATCAAGAGATGCTCAAAATCTTGACAACACCATCCCTGACGAGTATTGAGGGCATGGAGACTTAGGATCCACGGTCAGTGAGACAATATCGACGCATTGCCCACAACTTCCCAGTAATATAAGGGATCCAGCGACAGACAAATCTATTTCCCGCCGAGTCTGCTCTCGACCTTCTTGCGCTCGCTCTCGCGAAGCGCAGCAATCTCTTCCTTGGAAGCATTGACAGCTGCATGCACCTGGTTGAATGGGTTCTCCTCGCTCTTCTCGAATTCCTTCCGGCAAAGATCCATACGCTGGTTCCGGCGCAGACCGGGGTTTTCCTGCTCAATCTCTGGCAGGCGCCTCTCCTCAAATGCGGCATATGCGGCCTTGAACCGACGCTCCGGGTGTCTGTCGATCTTGGATGTGTCCTTGGAGGCTAGAGACAGGGCATCTAGTGCGTTATCGATACCAGTGGCGCTGAGAGCAGATGCCTTCTTGCTTCCTGCAGGAGCATCATCCAGTTGTGAAAGATCGAGACCGCGAGTCTTCTTTTGTGCGGTCTTGGCGTTCGCGCCTTTGCCTTTGGCTGGTTGAGAGGCTTCTTCCTCGGCGAGTAGGGCCTCGCGCTCGGCCTTCTTGCGGGCAGCCTCAGCTTTCTTGGCTTCAGCTTCCTCCCTATAGATTGACGATGATTAGGTCGGTGCTCGAGGACATAGTGCTCGTTGGGAGATTGAGTTCACATACTTCTTAGCATTGGTCTTGGATCCCTTCGCCCATTGCTTTTCCTCCTCTGCAGCTTTCTTTTGGTCCTCAGCGGCCTTCTTTGATGCTGCGGCGTCGGCTTTCTGTACGGCACTGTCAGCTTTTATCCAAATGATCTTGTGCTTGAGGGATGTGGCAATAATAGCGGGGGCGGGGTTAAAAAAAAAACATACACGAGCGTTGCCGGCGGCCTTCTTGGAGTTCTCACCTGCTGCTTTCTTGCCTCCCATGGTGAAATATGATGTCCAAACTAAGCACTGGACGGTATCTGAGGAATGGATGTGAAAAGAAAAAGGTGGAATCGAGTCTCTACTATATGATCTGATCTGCGGGACCAATATGCCGACTCCGATGAAGGCGGTGACGCTATCCATAGCCCGTGCGGCAATATTGATGCCTTGTTAATCTGGCAACAATCGGAGGTTCCCCAGCATTTGTAATCTCCTATCTTGCCTGGGCCGCATCTTGAAGCTGTCTGTCTTCTTCCGGCCATTTGTGATATGGCCTTGATATGGTCCTTATGATTGATATCTGTGGCCTCTGATTTGATTTGGGCTTTGTCGCTGCTGATTTCACATTTACCGACTAGTAATACAAACAGTTTTCCTCCCCTTACTATGCCCTGATCGTCCGTCACAATGGCTTTGCTCTTCCGCTTTCTACAGGCGTTCGCTGTACTGCTCCTTGTTAGCACAGTTACCGCTGAACACACCTCTAACTGGGCGGTACTTGTATCTACCTCTCGCTTCTGGTTCAACTACCGCCACCTCGCCAATGTCCTCTCACTATACCGAACCGTCAAACGGCTCGGCATTCCCGATTCACAGATTATCCTCATGCTCCCCGATGACATGGCTTGCAACCCCCGAAACGCTTTCCCCGGAACCGTTTACAGTAATGCAGACCGCGCCGTTGATCTATATGGCGACAACATCGAAGTGGACTACAGGGGGTACGAAGTGACCGTGGAGAACTTCATCCGACTCTTGACCGACCGCCTTGACGAAGACGTACCGCGCAGCAAGCGCTTGGGATCCGATGCCGGCAGCAATGTGCTAGTGTACATGACCGGACATGGAGGCGACCAATTCCTAAAATTCCAGGACGCCGAAGAGATCGGCGCATGGGATCTTGCGGACGCGTTTGGACAGATGTGGGAGAAGAAGCGCTATCATGAGCTGTTGTTCATGATCGACACCTGCCAGGCCAATACGATGTACACACATTTCTACTCGCCTAACATCGTGGCCACAGGCTCCAGCGAGATCGACCAGTCTTCCTATTCCCACCATGCGGACAACGACGTCGGCGTCGCTGTCATTGATCGCTGGACATACTATGTCCTTGAATTCCTTGAGACACAAGTGACGAGTGTCACTTCCAAACTGAACCTGGGCGATCTGTTCGATTCCTATGATGAGTCGAAGATCCACTCTCAGCCGGGTGTCCGGTGGGATCTGTTCCCTGGAGGCGAGCAAGAAGGCCGCCTGCGGACGGTGGTTGACTTCTTCGGCAATGTCCAGAACGTGGAAGTTGAGAATGCGAACGCCACAGAGCCTGGCTCTCTCAAGGAAGATTTGGCTGAGATTGCGCGCCTTGTGGAGAAGTGGCAAAAGCGTGATGAGGAATATTCAGCCATACTTGGTAATTCCGCTGGGAATGTCACCGAAGACCTGCCTTCGTCCTCTTTGCATCTGAAGCTGAAGAGCACTGTTGGGACGACTAAAATGGCTGAAGACAACAGCTGGGGCAAGCGGCTAGTTGGAATCTCCGTCGTTGGTGCATGCACCGCTATTTGGGTGGCTGGATCAATTCTCGGCCGCTCGTCTGTTTAATATTATGCCACAAAGCACCAGGCCTTCTTTTCCTTGGCAGCAGTCTTAAGTTTCTCCCCGGAGTCATGGATGCATGGTCATAATGTCTTCACTGGAATAATTTTGGGAATATAGCATGTTCATGGCGCAATTCGTTAACTCTGTGATTATTCAATTTAGAAGATATAATTTGATCCAACACCCCATGGGCAACAACTATGCTTTTTTGAGACACGTAACCTATGACAACCCAAAAGATGCAGGCTGGTATTGCAGACCTCGGAGCGACCATTGAAAAACCCCAGATGTCAGAACCCGAAGTCTGTCTCCGGTGGATCTACTACAATTCGAAGTTGCAGAAAGGTGATAGTGCAGGTGTGATTTTGGAGCTCCCTCCGCATATCAAGAATATCGCCAATGGGCCTTTGCCAGCTGAGACCCTGAAAGAAATGTTGACTGCTTTGGAAGAGACTGCGTGGTAGAGATCCGAACAAAGGATTTGCGCGTGGTAAGACTCAATTATAGATGAAAGATTTCGCGTAAAGTACCCAATTTGCAAAGCAAGAAGGTGAACCAACCAGTATTTTTGGAAGATCTATACCCATGTTGAATTCAAGGAGTTAAAGAGTAAGACATTCAGATAATGAAATATCCAAGTAATAAAAGAAACGGAGCAAATATCGTCGAGGTGATGAAGAGGTATGGAATCCCGGCACGTGCCTCCCGACGCGTCGCGCTTGTCCACTTCCCCGGCGCTATGAGAGACTCTTTGCTGCAAGGGCTTCACCCCAAATAACCACCTCACATTTCTGGGTTTATTCTTACAAGCTCTCTTTCTTCATGAGCTGTCGCATGAGCATATGACAATCCCAAGCTGGCCATGTATCTCCCTCGGCAGCTCATCTCACACCTCTACCTACAACTCCTCCGATCTCACCACCCACTTTCTCCACCCGTCTTGATTCTCGTGGCATTAGAGCCAGACGCGCTATGTGCCTGTCGGATACTCACGTCTTTGTTAAAACGCGACTATATCCCTCATAAAATCCAACCCGTTGCAGGATATGGCGATCTGTCGCGTGCGGGGGAGGAGCTAGTCCGCCCAATGCAGACCACCAATGGTGGCAGCGGCGGAGTTGTGGTCTGTCTCGGTGTAGGTGGTCTGGTCGATTTAGGCGAGATACTGGCTTTGACCAATCCCGAGGACGAGGTGGAAGATATGGGAGGCGTCGAGATCTGGGTATTCGACGCGCGACGGCCGTGGAACCTGGGGAACGTCTTTGGTGGACAAGCTGGGATGGGCCAGGCCATGGCTGAAATCGATACTAATGCGCGACGGCGAGGACGTGGGGTTGACAAAGGTTGTATCACTTCCGCTTACACGTCTAAGAATGGTGGGATCATCGTGTATGACGACGGAGACATCGAGGAAGAGCTCCACAATGAACGAGAGGCATACTACGCGTTACTGGAAATGCCAGAGGTAGACGATGACGATGACGACGCGAGCGACGACGGGTCCGAAGACGAAACGCGAACAGGGTCAAAAAAGCGCAAGTCCTGGTCAGGTCGCGAGGACGATGAGGATTCAGAAGGAGATGAGCCGCCCCACCAACGGAGGAGAAGCAATTCAGTAGGTTTTGGCATTTCTACGACCCGACAATGGACTAATGCGTGATATAGGGCTCTTCTATTGCCTCGACTCCGACTCGCCGCCAAAAGACTGGAATCAATTCTTCGAACTCGTCGCGATCTGTGACACCGACAACTGACTCGCCATCTCCAGCCGAGGCAAAGCAACCCTCAGCGCGATCATTAAAGAAACGGTTAATTAATCTCAAGCGAAGACACGACGCTGTTCTACAATCATACTATTCGTCTGGAACCTCATACTCCGAACCAATTTCGTCCCTGATCTACTCTCTGGCATCTGAGCTTGGACGAGATGATAACGACCTGTTGTGGCTGGCTATTGTCGGTGTCTCCAGTCTGGAACTCAGTGGTCGAACAATGACTGGAGTGGGTATCTCAAACACATCAGAATCAGGAGGCTCAGCAGGCTGGGGTGGCCAACGTGGTGAACACATCCGTCAAATACTTCGCGATGAAGTGCATCGTTTGAACCCGCCTGATCCTCTGGAATCAAACCGTGACATTCGAGGAGAAATCAACGGTGTCATTCCAACAACCGCTAGATCACCCACCGACACGTCGATTCGTCTTTCTCCTGAACCGCGATTTCTTCTTGTCCGGCACTGGTCACTATACGAGAGTATGCTTCATAGTCCATATCTTGCACCGCGGCTGCATGTCTGGACTGAGAATGGCCGCAAACGCCTGCACAAACTTCTGGCCAAGATGGGAATTAGTCTGACCCAGTGTCATCAATACTATACCCACATGGACATGGAATTGAAGCGTGTATTACGATCACGGCTGCTCAAGTACGCCCCTATGTATGGCCTAGATGGACTCGTACCGGCAGAGGGATCTGGGAGTGCGAGTGCCCGTGAGGGCTGGGGATTTGTGCGTTGCTGGGGCTGGAAGGCTTGCCTCTCTGCCACAGACGTGGGCGTCATTGTGGGTGCAATGCTGGAAGTTGGGCCACATGAGACTTTGGCTTCTTGGGACGCCAAACGTCTGCCACGAGCACGCGATGATACGGAGAACAGTGGAATCACAGGCGAATCTGACTTGGCTAGTCTGCTGCCTCGGTTCTGGAGTGCGTACGACGCCCTTTCGTTAACGTCCGAATCACCCACGATTCTCCTTGAGTCTCTACCCCTGGCTCAACATCTGCACCGTGCTATCCTTCGCACCGGTACCTCCTTGCTCTCTAAACATCAAATCCGTCATCTTCGAGCATTCCGCATTGCTGTAGTCAAGGACGGACCCGACGTCAAACTCTTCACAAACCCTGGGGCCTTGACTAAATTGGCCTTGTGGATCGCCGAGGCCATTCGAGTTCAAGAGAAAGAGCGGGGTGACTCAGTCAAGATCGGCCGCAAGAGAGCAGCAGGAACTCCTCTCGTCCTTGCTGGCCTCGACGAAGACCGTGATCTCTATGTAGTCGTCGGCACCGGTGGTGGCGGCGGTGTTGTTGATTTCGCTGCCATGTCCAAGCGCCAAGAGGAGCGCAAGAAGAAGAAAGAAGCAAAGGAAAAGAAACAGAAAGAGCGATCAGAGCGCCGATCCAAACGAGCAGCGGAGCGTGCCGAGCGAGAAGAGGAGACTGGCGCCGAAGACGAAGATTCGGAAGAGTCCGAGTCCTCATCGGAATCGGAGTCCGAGGACGAGGAAGATCCGCGTGGAAAGAAGCATCTTCTCCGCAACCGGTTTGGTATTGCTTTCCAGGAGGTAGTCCAGGAGACGAATGCCCGTGTGCGCATTGACAGCTTCGAGCATTGTGTTGTCGAGGTCCAGAAGGATGACCTTGGCGGCTTCCTCGAAGCATTGAGTTTCCGCAGTGTGGTGGGCTAAAACCCCTCTACGAACAATCACGCAGTCTACGACCTGTCATCTTTGTTTAATTTCTTCGACGCATGGGATAGGAAGGATATATGGGAGGGGATACTGGACTCTGAAACCGGCTTCATGCATAATGACCGTTGCATGGCTTTCTACGCTTGCAAGCATTCAAACGCCCTTCATTCTTGCATCTGTCTCCATGGCGTTTATGGTGTTTCTTGTTGTGAGGAAAACATGTTGATTCTATCTAGTCCATAGTTGCATCAAATCTATGCATTTTCGGCCTTCTCTCCGAGAGCTCCGAGAGCTCCCCGCACATTCCCCGCTTGTTGGTCTTCAACTGCTTTAAATACAGCTTTGGAACCCAGTCTCATTTAACAAATAGTGCAGAAATAGGAAAAATACCCCAATTCCTCACCATGTCGCAGCCCGAGTACCCCGTTCTTCCCCGCGAGAGTACCCTCGCCAACCTCCCCGCAGAGTATCCCACCGACGCGCAAGAGCAGATCACCCAAATCCTCACAACAGCCTCAATCAACCGGCTAGTGGTGCTAGACGACGACCCAACCGGAACACAGACCTGCCATGACATCTCCGTCCTAACAGTCTGGGACATCCCAACACTAACAGACGAATTCCAATCCACCAAGCCAGGCTTCTTCATCCTCACAAACTCGCGTGCCCTCCCACCAAAAGAAGCAGAAGCACTCATCCACGAGATCTGCACGAACATCGCCCAAGTCGCCAAAACAACAAACCAAAAGGTCGACATCGTCCTCCGCAGCGATAGCACATTACGCGGCCACTTCCCCCTCGAGCCGGACGTGGCGCAATCGGTCTTTGGCCCCGCAGACGCACTTGTTCTCGCCCCGTTTTTCTTCCAAGGTGGGAGGCTTACCATTAACGATGTGCACTATGTCACCGAAGGCGACAGCCTCGTCCCAGCGGGCGCGACGCAGTTCGCCAAGGACGCAACGTTCGGATATAAAAGCTCCAATCTGCGGGACTACGTGCTCGAAAAGGCGCCCGGTCGGTTCAACGCAGACCAATTATGCTCTGTGACAATCGAGGAGATCCGCACCGGTGGGCCGCAGGCCGTTTGCGAGAAACTGCTTGCTGCACCGCTTGGCGGGGTGGTGATCGTCAACGCGGCTGCGGAATCTGATATGCACGTCTTCGTGGCGGGATTGCTACTTGGTATGCCGGAGATCCGTCCTGCTCTTTGTTTGACTAGACTATGTAAGCCTGATGGCTAACACGTACCCAGCTGAATCTAAGGGCAAACACTTCCTATACCGCACAGGCGCGGCCTTCGTCTCAACTAGGCTCGGTATCCGTTCTAAAGCACCCATCTCCGCTGCTGAGCTTCACCTGCCCTTACCGCGCCAGACGGGCGGGCTTATTATTGCCGGATCATATGTTCCTAAGACAACAGCGCAGCTGAAAGTGTTGACGGATCGGCGCGGCGCATCGGGTCAGTTGGCGATCATTGAAATGAAGGTCGAGGAACTTGTTGCCTCGCCGGAGAATGCGACGCAGACTGTGCTGCGCGTTGTGCAGGAGACAGAAGCGCATCTGCGGGCTGGGATGGATACGCTCGTTATGACGAGTCGGGCTCTTGTGACTGGCAGCGATGAGTTGTCGTCGCTGAAGATTGGATCTGTGGTTGCCGAAGCGTTGGTTGGTGTTTTGCAGCGGATTGAGGTGCAGCCGCGGTTTATTATTGCAAAGGTATGAATGCTGTATTTTGGTCCCTTGGTTCTGTCTGTTGCCCAGGTGGTGTATTGGTGCTGACTGTCTTCTTAGGGCGGGATCACATCCTCGGATGCTGCGACTAAGGGCTTGAATGTAAAGCGTGCTACTATCGTTGGCCAAGCGGCGCCTGGTGTGCCTCTTTGGCGGTGTGACGAGGAGACTAGTCGCCATCGCAATGTGCCTTTTGTTGTCTTTCCTGGGAATGTGGGCGGAGAGGAGACGCTTTGCGAGTTGGTGGAAGGGTGGAGTTAGATATAGC